CCCATACAAATATTATCTAATTATGATACCATTTGGTCATTCAAATCATCATTTTACATTTTTTTTTGAAAGATTTCACAATTTCCCTCAAATTTTCCTTTAGATTCTCGTGAATTTGATGCTAAATCTAAGATATAATCACAAAATATAGTTAGAAATTGATTAGAGCACTTACCTAATGATTTGGAGAAGTTTGGGTCCTTGGAAAATCGCCCATGGAGATTTAGGGTTTGAGAAAATTGAAAAATGGGTGAAAATCTCGTCAAAAACCTCACTTAACATGCCTCAGATGTCGCATTTGCGACCCAGGGCTGGCAAAAGTTGCATTTGCGACAAAAATCTCGCATTTGCGAACTGGTCATCGCAAATGCGATAAAATGTTCGCATTTGCGACCACACCAGAACCAACAATTTTTCTTGACACGAAAATGAGCATAACTTCCTCGTACGATGTCCAAATTCGATGATTCTTTTTCCTATGGCTTCGTAATTTCGACACAAATCTAATGGTTCAAACAAAATTGAATTTGGATCTCATTTGCTCAATATGGTATTATTCTTGCTTGAAGAAACGACGATGAAGCATCCAAAAACAAGCACAACATAGCCTAAATCTTCCGAAACTCACCCAAGCTCTCGAGGCTCCAAACCAAACATGCACGCAAGTCTAAAAATATCATACGGACTTGCTTGTGCAATCAAATCATCCAAATAATATAAAAAAACTATGAATTTAAACTCAAAACTCATGATTTTCTAACTTTTCAATCGGACGTCCAAATCACGTCAAATAAATTCCGATTTTCGCCAAATTTTACAGATAGGACTTAAATATCATAACAAACTTGTACCGGGCTCCGGAACCAAAATACGGGCCCGATACCAACGAGTTCAAACATTAATTCATTTCTTTATTTCCTTTAAAACCCAGCACAATAATTTTCTTCAAAAATTGTTTTCTAAGGCTAGGGGCCTCGGAATTTAATTTCGGACATACGCCCAAGTCCCATATTTACCATGGACCTTCCGGGATCGTCGGAACACAGATCAGGGTCCGTTTACCAAATCAGGGCTGGTACACACTTCTTCTTCTACTCAGTTGGCTGACCTCTTCACTAAGCCACTTCCAGGTGCTACTCATCATGGTTTTTTGCTCAAGTTGTGGGTCTTCCCACCCTCCAACTTGAAGGGGTGTGTTGGAGTTATCGAAAGGAGTCCAGATTAAGGCCCACTTTCTCTAATTGGCCCATTATATTTATTTGTATATGAGGTGAAAGCCCAGATTTTTCCTTAAGTCTATTTTTCATTTTTGTAGTTTTAGTTTTCTACTCTTGAAATAGATGAGAAATCATCTGATAATATCAATGAAAGGCTTCTCTCTTCTCTCTCAATCTTTTATCAAACGTCAATTTAAAGGAGAGAAATAATTTTGGATATAATGCTGATTTAGAAGAATTTAACTCTTTCCATACATTTTGCTTCGATTTTTCGCAATCAACAAAGGTTAAAATAACAAAATATGTTGGTTGATTTTGTGAGTATCCCTCCAATAAAACTTGTAAAAGTGACCCAAGTAATGTTTCTTGAAAAAGATATGTTTACAATTGTTGTTAAAAATATGATCATTACCCAAACAAATTATCTCCCTAAGAAAATTTATGAAATTTTTCATGACTTAACTCATCAAAAAATTTGTTCTCTCTCTTACCTGTCCCACCCACCAGAGGAATCATCTTCACTGCAAAAAGTGGGTAGATTGTGCGTTTGGACATAAGAATGTAAAATTTCAAAAAAAATGAAATTTTTTTAAAGTGAAAATGGTATTTGTAAATTAGAGTTGTGTTTGGACATGAATATAATTTTGGGTTGTTTTTGTAGTTTTGTGAGTAATCTAAGTGGAAATTTTGAAAAACAGTTTTTTGGAGTTTTTCAAATTTTCAAAAACTTCCAAAATGCATCTTCAAGTGAAAATTGAAAATTTTATGACCAAACGTTGATTTCGAAAAAAATGAAAATTTTTCGAAAAAAAGTAAAAAATTTCTTATGCCCAAACATGCTTTTAAAAATAAAGTGAGGAGACGTTTAAAACTTTAAATTGATAAGGCGACATATTTCCAACGCTGATTTTATTCGTCTAATTTGAGTATGCCAAAGTCCAAAGTTAAAATCATTTGATATATACTTTTTATAGCATTCAAATCATATCGTCCACGTCCTTTCGTTTATTTTATAAGAGATTCGTTTTACCATAAAAATTTGCCTTTTTTATTTTAGTGTTTTTTTCTATAAACTTACGAAAAGTCAAGATATCAACCTTGTCGATTTATTATCTACTTGTAAAGGCATATGTCCTGTGAAGACATTGAGGACATTGTGTACATCACTGAAGTGATTTAAAAAAAAAAAAAGAGTGAAAGAAAACAAAAAGCAATGAATCACTATATGATCTAGGGTAATCCTTTCATCACCTAGGTTTGTGGTGCAATAGATAGAATCCCTCCGCTCTCAATCTGAGGATTTGGTTCTAGCCTTATGAATGAAATGTTTTTCCCTTTAATAGGCTGTACACGGATTTAGATCATATAGTTATTGTAAGAAAAATGAGTTGGTAATATTGATTAAGAACAAGAAGGAAAGAAGAACAATTTATCAAAAATACTGTGTCGTGGTAAGCCACTGCCTTGAAAGCGATTTCGGCCCGACTAGGTGCAAATTGTTAAGATCGGTCGCTCCCGAAGGTTCCACAACACCTCCAAACACGTGCACTCACGACTGGAAGTTTAGAATTTGCACAAAACAATTGCCCAGAAAGAAGAGAAGATGTAGATTTTTTTCCTGTAATTGTTACAGAAACTAAAATGTTATAGGAAGAAAGTAATGATTAGCAAGATGAATTCTTGGTTAAGAATTGAGTGAATATGATGGCTAATAACCATCATATTTATAGGCAATTCGGGAGATTGCATGTATGACAAGTGTGGAGAGTCTTTTAACACTTGTCCAATTATATAGTCCAGTTGTCTTCAATATTAACAAGTGTACCTAATCTTCCATGCATGAAGACACATGGTTTGCATAGTCACTTGCCAAAGTCATTCAACATTTGGCTTTAAGGCTTCATGCAAGAAGCCACTTTGAAATAGATTGAACACTTGAAAAATAAAAACTCTCATTACTATTGGTTGTAAATGAATTTTCAAAAAGAAATTTTTGACTTTGCATTATAAATAATATCTAACAGTTATGGCCCCAATACGAATATACACTAAATAGGAAAAAAGAAGAATAATGTTTTCATATAAAGAACGATAACGAATTGAAAAATCATTTCAATATTATAATTTCTATCAACCTCTCAACTTTCTTTGATGCAATCTCAAATCCATCAACGTAAAAAAGGGTATAAGCACATTTTGCTGTAGTCAAAGACATAACGAATAATAAATAGTTAAATAAACAAAATGGGAATCTAAAACCCTTGGCGTACGAGGACAACAAAAGATTCGTCGAACTATACTTTAGGACGTGACCGTTGTTATATTATAAGCGCCAAATAAGTATATACATGTCCTTATTGAAGTCTCACAATTGGAAATTGCATCAGAAGACAAAAAAAAAAACAAATTACAGAATAAATCAATAGCAATTCAATAGAATAATGAAACCTTCTTAATTTGTCAAAAATGCCGAAAGAAGTGTGATATGCTCAAGAAAACTGGTATACACGCAAAGAAAAACAAGTGACGTTAATTCAATGTTTTAAAAGGCGGGGACGTGAGGCGAGGCGAGGCGTTTTACTTCTAACGAAGCGAGGCGTAAGCCCTGAGACATAGGGGCGTACGTCCCACGGATCTTTAAATTTTACTAATTTCAAGAATTTTAAGATAGTATTAAATAAAAAATAATATAAAAATTACATTAAAATTACAAAATTATAACAAATAATATATTTAAAATATTAATAAATTATAATTCAACTATGAATAATATGAAAAGTATGACATATATCAGAATATGCAAATAGTTGCAATGTTGTTACAACTCAAACATCAAAAGTAATGTATTCGATACGAAATCTTATATGTATCTCTTAAGGAGTAATGAATCTTGAAAGAATTTCGATAATATAACTTGATATTTTTCTTAAAATACTCTTTTTTTTAATATGCTTTCTATTTGAAAGAGAATTTATATAATTAAAAACATAATTTATAATTTAAATATGATTCTCAAGCCTCATTCATTTTTAAGTTTCAACAAGTTAATAAAGTGACACATAATTCACCATACAACACCATGATAACTAATTATTTGTACATAGTTACTAGCTGATACTGAGCTATTAAATTAATAAGTATTTTATCTCGTAGACGTGTAAAAAAAATTAGAAAAATAATTATAAAAAATTATGGATTATTATATAGTAAAGACCTAACAATAGTTAATAAACAAATACTTTTTAAATGAAAGATTTATTTAAAATTAACTATTATAGTAGTCTTAGAGGATAACGTGCAATAATTTTTATTTTAATTATGACAATACTCTCAACATAATAATTTATACTTAGGAAAAAAGTAATTTTGAATAGTCAACGATTTATTAAGAAAATTTGAAGATATACAAGGTTAGTTACATACAATTGTATAAAGTTCTATTAGGCGAGCCCAGTACGTTGGGCGTTGGGCGTGTCTGGGGCGTAAGCCCCGATGACCGAGGCGTAAGTCTCACGAAACTAAGCCCCACACATAAGCCCAGGGGCATTTTACGAGTGCTCCGCCCCTGGGCGAATCCCAATTCTGACTTTTAAAACAGAGCGTTAATTTGCTAGTCTAAAACTTCACACTGTAATAATGGAGATCAATCAATAAAGTAACAAGCATAAATTCTGTGTTTATTATTCTTGCAATCTCCAAATTATCCCTTTATCTATATTTATTCTGGAGTTGATATAAAGAGATATATTCCTTGTTCAATTTCCAATTCTATTATCTAAGCACCTTATCATGTCCAAAGGTATCCTGCTCCAGCAACTTTAGTTTGGACTCTATAAGACAAGAACACTTGCTTCTGTTTTTAGCAGAATTAAGATAGTCCCATGATTACAATATATTAAACAAACATTGGTCTATTTTGATCAGATAATATTATTTGGAAATAAATTAAAGCAGTGATAGAGAAGTACAAAGATGGATAGAGGAAAAAGAAGAGGTGAAGATTCAGAGGATGACGAATTTAAGGTTGAAGATCTTCAAGAAAGTTCCAACTCCAACAAATTAGCCTCTAATTGGAAGAATCGCTTCAAGCTTTTGAGAAACTATTCTAGTCTTGACACTAATAATGTTAGTGTTAGAAATGGAGATCAAGGAAGAGACAATACAAGCAGGAGACGTAGAGATCACTGCTATGGATTTGTTATTCATCCCGATAATTGGTCAGTCACTGTGTGTCCTTAAGGTTATATATAGAAAAGGATTTAAAAGCATGTTTGGCCAAACTTTCTTATTTTGAAAAATGATTTTCTTCAAATTTTAAAAAAATTCTTTTGGTAAAAAATAGTTTTGTTTGACTAATTAATTTGAAAATCATTTTTGAATAGCAATAGAAATTTGGACAAACTTTTAAAACGTGTTTCTAAGAGCCCGTTTGGCCAAGCTGCCAAAAACTGCTTATTTTGAAAAATACTTTTGTTTAAAAGTGTTTTTTTGAAAAAGTGCTTTTGCAAAATAGCAGTTTGTGTTTGGCCAATTCATTTGAATAATATTTTTTGTGTTTGGACACTTTTTAAAAAAAAAAACACTTTTAAGTATCAAATTACGAAAAAGGATAGTAAAAGTTCAATTTGCGATTAGTATTATTTTGAAGAAAAAAATTAAATATTTATTGTAGCTTCTCTCCAAAAGCAGAAAAATCACTTATGCTGCTGCTCTAAAATACTTTTTTATTTTTGTCAAACACCTTAAATATAAAATACTTTTTTAACAAAAAAGAAAAGGACTTTTGGGATAGACTAGGATATGCTATAGGGGAGAATTAGCTTTTCCACCTGGGATAACTAATAATAAAATCTATATCAGTATTAACTACATTCATTATTAAACAGGGATAAATACAATCTCTAATTTTATTATGAGATTATAATCCTTATTCCGTGACCAAAGGACCCCTCAACATAGTTCAACATGTGATACTAGCCTAGTTATCATTTCTATCTTTTATCTAATTTGTGAATAATTTTTAATAACTAGCGCAGAAAACTTAAACTCAAACAAAATAAAAAAAATAAAAAAAATCAAAAGTCCGTTTGCCAACTGTTTATAATAAGCAATGCCAAATTGGTATTTTGACAATTATAAAAAGAATCTTTTTCTTTCTCAATCTGAACCCTCAATAATTTTCAATATCATCCGAAATTATACCTTGTCCGTGGCGCCAAGATAACAATTACTAACTACTATAGCGGCCACTTCCTGCTTCTTACAAAATAAATAAAGAGAATTTTTGAATGCAGGTGGTACCTGTTGTGGACTCAATTCATTCTGATATGGGCGATTTACTCCTCCTTCTTCACTCCCATGGAGTTTGGTTTTTTCAGAGGACTCCCCGAAAATCTGTTCCTACTGGACATCGCCGGCCAAATTGCTTTCCTCATCGACATCGTCGTTCTCTTTTTTGTTGCGTATCGAGACGCTCATTCTTACTGCATGGTCTACGACCGTAAACTCATTGCCCTTCGGTCTGTCCCCTTTCGTCCCTTTTTTAATTTACGCAATTCCTATTAGTACTATTCATGCAACTTTTGTTTCAATCATTTGTTTTTATTCACCGATTATGATTGCCCTAAAGTTTTCAGTAATATGTATAGGTACTTGAAATCTCGTTTCCCGGTGGACTTGCTAGGTTGCTTCCCATGGGATGCTATATACAAGGTATGTTTAACCATGAGGAATCTCAGAATAGGACCTGAATAGAGCGGAATATTTTTGAGGATTCATACAGCCGATCCCAACTAATTCAGGATTGAGGCTACTTGATAGATTGATTTATATTATGGCTGTGTTGTTCAAGTTTTTGCAATTTAATACCAATGTGCTGTTCTAGTCAAAAGACAAGGTTATATATATAGCTATGTACTTCCTATAAAGACTTGAAAGTAAAGGCTTGAAAGTGATGATCTTTATTGAGTCTTCAATGACCTTTAAATACAAGAAGCAAATAACTAACTCCCTAAGCTAACACCTCTGATGGAGGAGAACGTAACAACTTAACAAAACTAACTCCCCTAAATAAGAGACTTATTGTAATCTAAAACTAGCAACTAAGTAGGAACTAAATCTTAACAACTCAACTAAATAAGAGGTAAAAGAGTAACTGCTACTGCTGCATATGTGCTAATACACCCCCCTCAAGGTAGACGGTGTGTAACAACGCCTAGCTTGAATAAGTTACTGTCAAAGGATGCCTTGGGCAGTGCTTTAGTGAGAGTATCCGCGAGCTGATGGACAATCTGAACTTGTCTTTGCTGCACTTGCTTGCGAACAAAGTGAAAGTCCACAGCAATGTGTTTCATGCGGCTGTGGAACATAGGATTTTCACACAAATATGTTGCACCAACATTGTCGCAGTAAATGGTTGGTGCGTGCAGAACAGGAATGTATAATTCTTTCAACAAGTTCGTTACCCAATTAATTTCAGCAAGTGCACTGGCGACTGCACGATATTCAGCCTCAGTTGATGAGCGAGCAACAGTTTTTTGTTTCTTGGATGACCAGCACACAGGATTTGATCCAAAAAACAGTACATAACCTGTAGTGGAGGTTCGATCATTCACATCTCCAGCCCAATCCGCATCAGTGTACATGTGAAGCTTGAAATCATTGCGTCTGAGTATGCGGAGACCAAACTGAATCGTTCCTTGGAGATACCTAAGCACGCGTTTGAGTACTTTCCAATGTGTTTCAGATGGACAGTGCATGAATTGGGACAGTTTGTTAACAGAAAAACTTATGTCTGGTCGGGTGAATGACAAGTACTGTAGCTTACCCACAACTTTTCTGTATCGAGTAGCATCAGTTGGTTCCGCACCATCATTGAGCTTAAGTATTTCTGTTGAACTCATTGGAGTTTTTGCCGGCTTGCAGTCACTCATGTTTTCCTCCGTCAGAATATCACTGATATAATTAGATTGTGACAGAATGATTCCATCATCACCACGGAGCACCTCGACACCAAGAAAATATTGGAGATTTCCAAGATCTTTAATCGAAAAACGTTCAGCAAGTGAGTAAATAACCTGATCAACAATACGCTTGTGACTCCCTGTGATGATAATATCATCTACATACACGAGCAAATACACCACACTGTAAGAATGTTGACAAATGAAAAGGGAGGCATCCGACTCAGACTTTAGAAATCCCAAGTAAAGAAGATGAGCCTTGAGTTCGTTGTACCAAGCTCGAGGAGCTTGCTTGAGTCCATATATTGCTTTTTTTAGACGGCAAATATGAGAGGGAAACTACTCGTCTTCAAAGCCTGGAGGTTGAACCATATAGACCTCTTCCTCTAGATGTCCTTGTAGGAATGCATTATTGACATCAAGCTGCCTGAGTGGCCAATTCTGTTGAACTGCCATTGAGAGCACCAATCGAACTGTAGTTTGTTTCACAACCGGACTGAACGTAGCATGATAGTCAACTCCTGGCCTTTGGGTAAATCCTTTTGCAACGAGGCGCGCCTTGCAGCGATCAATTGTTCCATCAGCTTTTCTCTTTATCCTGTATAACCACTTGCAAGACACAATATTTTTACTGGGGTCATTTGGTACCAAATCCCAAGTTTGATTTTTCATCAATGCATCAAATTCAGTTTTCATTGCTCTCTGCCACTCGGGGAATTTGTTAGCTTGACGGAAAGTGGATGGGGTGATTGTGGGTGACAAATACGCCATGTAGTCAAAAATCTTTTTTGTTTTCTTAATGTTGTTTTGTGAACGAGTGACAACACGATTTTGAGATTGGGTAGGAGGTATGTTGGTTGGCATGGCTGGAGTGGGTAAGGGAGCAGGTTGTGTGGTTGTTGGAAGTGAGACAGATGTGTTGGTGATATTTGGGTTATGTGATTGCATTGCACTGTTTTTGCGGCTGTAAACTATTGGAAAAGAAGGATGCTTTGTAAGTTTGGTTGATGGTTGTTGGGTATTTATTGGTGATGAAGAGGGTATTGTTGATAAGTTTGGAAGAGACTCTGTAGGATGGGAGTCATTTGAATTCCTAGGGATAACTGTTGGGGTTGGTAGAGGGGGATAAGATTGGATATCATGAAGAGGGGGAGGGGTAGGCAAGGTTGGAGGAAGAGATATACCTGGATTTGCAGATTCTGTTGAAGTGCAGCTAGAGGAGATGGTCTCAGTTGTACGTAAGATGGACTCCGCATTGGGTAAAATCACTGGGGAGGGTAAATCTATGTTAACTGAAGGAGAGAAAATAGGAGATGCAGTTGAGTTTGTTTGGGTTGGTTTTTCCCACGCAAGTGTTTTAAAATTTGAGGAAATTTTTGAAAATATATTCTGGAAAGGAAAAATATCTTCAAAAAATTTTACATCACGAGACAGGTATATTTTTGAGGCTTTCGGATCAAAACATTGATGACAATGATAATTTGATGAAAAACCCAAATAAACACACGGGGTCGACCTCGGCTCTAATTTATTTTTTGTGTATGGTTTTAGCCACGGATAACATAAACACCCAAAAATTTTCAAAGAGTGATAATCAGGTGTTTTTCCAAATAACATTTGAAAGGGTGATTGATTTTTTAAAAGTGAGGTAGGCAAGCGATTTATTAGATAAACAGCATGTTGACAAGCAAACGACCAAAGAGACGTCGGAAGCGAAGCTTCATGAAGTAATGTTCTTGCAGTTTCAATAATATGTCTATGACGTCGTTCTGCAAGAGCAACTCTTTGAGGTGTGTATGGAGGAGCTAAAAGATGTTCAATACCTTGAGAGCTTAAGTATGGATCAAGGCTTTTATATTCTCCACCACCATCTGTATAGATTGACAGAACTTTTGTATTAAAACGACGTTCCATTAATGCTTGAAAATCTTTGAAAAGTTCTTTAACCTCACTTTTATTTTTCAATGGATAAAGCCAAGTGTATTTGTATATTGATCAACAAAAATGCAGTAATATAACTTTTTATCAATTGATAAAACCGGTGATGGACCCCATAAATCACTGAATATTGTTTGAAATGGTTTTGAGCTTGATAGCGTAAGTTGCTGAAAAGGATGGCGATGAACTTTGTTTGATGAACAAGAATTACAAACTGAAATTTTTTCTCGCAAGCAGGGTAGCGAGAATTTATTTAAAACAAAATTTAAAACTCTTGCGTGCGGATGACCCAATCGTCGATGCCAAGTGATAATAGAGGAGTTGGGGGAGGCCACATGTGCTCTTGGTGAAGATGAATTTGGCCACTCATACAGACCATCTCTACTCCGACCGCGTACCAACGGAGTCTGCGTTTTCAAGTCCTTCACACAAAAATGAAAAGGGAAAAATTCAACAGAAGTTAGATTATCTTGACAGAATTTTGAAACTGAAACCAAGTTTTGTTTAATGCTAGGAGCACAAAGAGTATTAGAGAGTTTGAAAGCATTATTTGATGCATGTATTTGAGTTAAACCAGTGTGAGTTATGGGTATTTTGTTACCATCACCCATAGAAACTTGCTCCATGCCATTGTATGCTTGCAAGTTGTGCGGTTCAGCAGTGATGTGATGAGATGCACCGGAGTCGAGAATCCAAGGATTTGGTGCTGTTTGCATGGCTGAAATGTAGTTGGCCTTGGCCTCATAATGATTATGAGATTCGGACCTACATACACTTGCAACGTGTCCTACTTTGTTGCATAATTGGCATCTAACACGTCCAGAGTTGGTGGTGTTTGAATAGCGTGACTGCTGGTTGGTAGGAGCAGATCGATTGTTGTATCGCCACTGCTGGTTGTTGCTGCTGTTGTTGTTAGCGGTGCGCCTATTGTTCCGGTTGGTGGCAGGAGCAGGCTTATTTTGTGAAGCATAAGCTGCAGTGATTGAGCTAGCAGGTTTCTTTGACTCTTCATGGCTCAAGAAAAGTTCATGATCAAGGAGCTTTTCATAGAGTTCTTCATAGGAAATTGTAGACTCACGAGCCCGAATAGCTGCTGAAATTTCACGAAACTCTGGACCCAGACCGCTAAGAATCTTAACGATGAGTTCAGAGTTTGTGACCGGGGCACCAGCAGTCGAGAGTTCATCAGAAAGAGAGCGAATATTTTGTAGATATTCGGTGACTGGTTGGGAATCTTTATTGAGTCTCGCAAGACGATCACGAAGACTAAAGATTCTAGTTTGCGACTTGTTTGCATAGGCAGTGTGTAATGCATCCCATCGTTTCTTCGCAGTCTCAGCAGTTGCAACAGTAGTGGCAATTGTTGGATCAACAGATGCCATGAGTGCATTTTGAATTAGTTGATCTTGGCGGAACCAAAGAGCATATGGTGGGTTGACACTAGTGACTGTGCCTGTTGTGATAGTGCTGGATGGAGCAGGAGTAGACCCATCTAGATGACCAAAGAGATCATGGCCGTGCATGAGCATGGAAAATTGTGCCTTCCATGTCGCAAAATTATGACTTCCAGTTAGTTTAATCGGAAGTTGGGATGCAGGATTGAACTGGACAATAGTCGTGGTGGTGTTATTATCAGCATTGACTACGCTGGTGGTGTTGGCCATTTGTGGAGGGTGGGAGGGAAAAAGAAAATAAGGATCTTACTCGTTAGAGTGTTATTTAGGCTCTTGATACCATATAAAGACTTGAAAGTAAAGGCTTGAAAGTGATGATCTTTATTGAGTCTTCAATGACCTTTAAATACAAGAAGCAAATAACTAACTCCCTAAGCTAACTCCTCTGATGGAGGAGAACGTAACAACTTAACAAAACTAACTCCCCTAAATAAGAGACTTATTGTAATCTAAAACTAGCAACTAAGTAGGAACTAAATCTTAACAACTCAACTAAATAAGAGGTAAAAGAGTAACTGCTACTGCTGCATATGTGCTAATACTTCCTAACTATCTTAATTCAATAGAGATATCCTTATTTGTGATACTCCACCTCGAAAACGCCAAGTCATTATTGTTGTTGCCTTTTTGAAACGGAATAAACTTATACCCTTGTTTCTTTCTGTTTCCAAGACAAATGAAATGATGACTGACTAGTTTCTATTTAAGACAATAGTCTTCCTTTGTTGAGGCGGATCCAAGATTTAAATTCTATGGGTTCAGCCTTTAAGATTTTTGGCATTGAACTCATTATATTTTTAAAGCTATAGGTTCAAATCTACTATTTGTTGCAATTTTAATAAATTTATGCTCCGCGTTGAAAGTTATGGGTTCATTTGAACCTGTTACTTATATGCTACATACGCCTTTGTTACTTTGTATTGCCTTAGTATTATAATATACCATTTAGGAAACTGAGAATTTAATTGTGGTGGCTAGAACATTCCTTACAGGACTGGTCACAGTGGTAGTTTGGAGTTTTGAGGACTGTGTATCGACTAAATGTATGCAACTCTCCAATCATTTAGGAACTTGTGTGTTAGTCTTCTTGTTCTCATCTTTTTCTCCTTTTGACAAAGTGTTATAATCGTCGCGACATTGCCTCTGATAGTCAACTTCCAGCCCCTGTACGATGGTTGCCAACTAGAATCTAGTTGATTATAATGACTTTGAAGCTTTTTTAAGAAACAAAATAAAAAAGGTTTTGCCAACCATGGTGGATGGGCACGACTTTGCAGCTTGACATTTATGCTATTGGTGTGCATAAGTTGTAGAGTGTTATGCACTCTATTTGGTCAGTTTCCAGTGCTGATAATAGCAAAGAAATTGGCATAAATGGCTATAAAATGAACTACTAAGCTGTTTTCTGTGATCAGGCTTGTGGAAGAAAGGAGCCAGTTAGATACCTCTTATGGATTAGGCTAAGCCGAGCCCTTAGAGTGACAGAGTTTTTTGAAAAGCTGGAGAAAGACATCCGTCTAAATTATCTGTTTACAAGGATTGTGAAGTTATTAGTTGTCGAAGTATACTGCACTCACACAGCTGCTTGTATTTTTTACTATCTGGCTACTACATTGCCTCCATGGGAGGAAGGTTACACGTGGATAGGAAGCCTGAAGATGGGTGACTACAGTTATGCACATTTCCGAGACATTGATCTTTGGACTCGCTATATCACATCTTTGTACTTTGCCATTGTCACCATGGCAACTGTTGGTAAGCTATTTCTTTTTACTGCAAAGTTCAAACTATATTAGCTTATTGATTTTATCATTCTAGTTCCATCTATTCATTTATACAAATGTCTAAAACAACATTCATGTTTTACTCCCTTCTTTACTTCGGATCTTTGTACTAATCTTTTAGATTCATCTTAAACACAAGTGTGTCTTTTGAATTTTTATCACTTCTTTGCTTATTGTTTCCCACTAGGAAAAGCAGAAATAAGAATTAGCAAAGGTAGTGTGGGAATAATGCAGCAAAATTTAGTGACCTTCAGTTTATTAGGAATTACAGTTGAGATTAGTGATTTTTGGTTTAAATGATTGTAGTAATTTCTGTTAGCTAAGGGTATTAGTTACTTGATACAGAGGCTATAAATCACATGAAGCCATGCATCAATAATTCTCTTTAGAATCAAATTCACATTTAGTTGGAGATATTGAAAATTCAGATGCAACAGGAAATAGTTGTACTTCAATTGCTAAGAACTTTGAATTATTTATTCCTCCATAACCTACATAATTAAATATATGAAAGCTGCAATTTTGAGTGATACTACAAGGATTTTAACTCTTTGAATATTCTGGCACTCGGCTCATCACCTTTGTATGATGTCCTAACATATTTCGCTGATCTCTCGGCGCTTCTGTTATATACAGCTCCAAGGTGGTAGTAGTGCTATTAGTTGAGAAACTTTGGAGTAGAAAGAGAGTGGATTCTAGAATTTCTAACATCACACTGTTCCTACCATGTCCTAATGCTAGAAACATCTCAGCAAAGGCAAGCCAAATTACTCTTCTGCAATAAAAATTATGTCTGCAAGATGTATACTGGAAGATATAATGGAAGTCCTCTTGTCCGAGCTGAAAATACAAGAAATCATTAGAAAGTAATCTCAGATAATTATAAGTAGAAAAGTATTATGAATTTGTGATGAACTGAAAAAGGTCACCTTTCATTAAACATTTTATATCAAAAGCTAAAGAATACATTTCCGGGAAGTTATCTGGTTGTGGTGTTATTGCCGTATAGGTAAGTGATTCTACTTTATTCTTAGAGCAGCACGAATTTGGAAAGGTTACTTTTCTCAAAATCGGTATCTGGCATAATGCATTTATTCTTCTCTTATGCTGCAGGTTATGGAGAAATTCATGCAGTCAATACCAAGGAAATGATATTTGTAATGATTTATGTCTCTTTTGACATGATTCTTGGTGCCTACCTACTTGGTAATATGGCAGCATTAATTGTTAAAGGATCCAAAACTGAAAAGTTCAGGGATAAAATGGCAGATCTTATAAAGTATATGAACAGAAACAGGCTGGGGAAGCGCATAAGCAAAGAGATCAAAGATCATGTCAGATTACAGTATGAGAGCCGGTATAATGAGTCTTCTGTTCTTCAGGATATTCCTGCTTCAATTCGAGCTAAGGTATTGCAAGAAGAATTTTATCTCTTTAGTCTTTACAATCTCCTGTTCTTTGCTCCCTGTGACCAAAGAGAAAGGAAAGATCAGGGAAAGGAACAGTAATAAGTATAAATATGAATGTTTGGTGTTGTATGCCACAGTAACGGGTTCCTCTTGCAGATTTCGCAAAAGTTGTATGAGCCCTACATCAGAGGAGTCCCACTTTTCAGAGGTTGCTCGCATGAATTTATCAAACAGATTGTACGTTCACTTAACCACAAGGAAACGGGCTTATAATATTTGCTTTCTTTATTTCTTTACAAAAGTGTGTCACTGGTTCGCTTATTCTTGCATCTTTGAGGAATAAATGCAGAGACAAATGCTACTTTCTTTCTGCTTATTTCCCATTAAACAGCTTATTCTAATGTGAAGCAATCTTGTCTTTCCAAATGGATAAGATTGATCCTATATCCCAAGAACTCTTCAATCTACTGATGCATTCATCATCATTTCCCCCCCTTAAATAACGGTTGTCTATGCCAGCTCATGCACACCCTCGACTATTCCACCGGATTACTGATGCATTCTCCTTATATCAAGTCGTTTCCTGTTTTTTTTTCCAACAAAAGAATTCATCTTATATCACTGACAAAAAGAAATATCTTATATCAAGTACATTTCATCGTGATCCTAGAATAGTTATTTCCTTTAACATTGAAACAAAGATACAATAATCTTTAGCTAGGTGACTAAAAATAAAATGGCGCCTATTTCAGAACTCATTGTACATCTTTAAGGAAGCTATGCTATCCTAAGAGCTTTATATGATTCTATTTGTTGCTATCGTGTGCTTGTTTCAAGATTTGACACTTGTCAGCTGCTTCCTTTCTTTAAATATTACCGAATTCAAAAATTTTGTGCTTATTTAACAAATGACGACTACAATTCTTATGATTCATGTTGACGTCAATAAGGATGTCCTGTTGTTTGCTATTATCCTACATCTGAAGCTGATATGCAGTAGTAGCGACAATGCAAAGTCTGTAGTAGTGAAGGGCGCCTCAGCAATTCTTCTCTTTTTGTAGGCAATCAAAGTACATGAAGAATTTTTCCTTCCAGGGGAAGTGATTATTGAACAGGGTAGCATGGCAGATCAACTGTATTTTGTCTGTCATGGTAAAGTGGTATGGTTTCCATCTTTTGAATTCCATTGTCATACTAAACGATATGCTAAAGGGAAGATTGTTAAACCTAGGCAGAGAAATAAAATGGAAGCAGCAGTAGATGTAGCAATTAGCTTTAATTTAGAAGCAGATACATTTATTTACATGGATAGGCACAATGGCTACAGAAGTAAAGTCCAACAAAGACAAAAATAAAGGAGAATACAAGAAGAAGGAAAAGGGAGAACAAAGAAATGGACAGCTGAAGAATTTTGGCATGGAAGTTTCTGTTCCCTCCTCCCCTACACCCTGAATATCGTCATCTGCAGTAATGTTGAGAAAGTTCGTCTCAGTGTTAAAAAGTAGCCCTTTTTTTTTTCTTTGATACCCGAGGAAGGTTGTGTACTTCATTTTTGGCAATTCAAAATATAGAATATTTACAAGTTGGAAAATTCCGGGGCAAAGAAATTGGAAGAAAGGTAGACATGGAGATAGACAAAGAAGGTTGGCGTAGTCTCCTAGGATATAATGAAATCACATCCGTTTTGCATTTTTGTTTACACTCATATATATATATAGAGAGAGAGAGAGAAAGAGAGAGACAAAGAGAGGGAGAGAGAGAGAGAGACAGAGAGAATTTCTTCCAGAATTGATATGTAAACGAAAAGTAATTTTTCAAAACAATGTAATTAGTAAGTTATACTCGAGGTGTTTCCACAAAGGCTTTCATGAGTTGTCAAAGAACTGAACAGGATCTCAACTGTAGACTGTTTGTTACAGCTTTTACTTGTCCAAAAAAAAAATTGTAGATTGTTTGTTCATAATTTGTATGTCTACAGGAAGAAGTTAGAAAACCAGAAGAAAATGAAACTGAAGAATCTCTCCTGGATCTTCACACTTACAACTCTGTTGGTGAAATTTCTGTTCTTTGTAACATCCCAGTCCCTTATACAGTTCAAGTTTATGAGTTATCTAGACTGCTACGAATTGATAAACAATCTCTGGTGGAGATTCTGGGGATATGCTTCTCTGACGGGCGTGTGATCATCAATAATCTACTTGAGGTTCAATATCTTTTCATTTTTAATCTCTTATTGTCTTCCAAATTTCTGTTGATTTCTTTCAAATGCTATTCTAAACATTAAGCAACTAACTGGACCCAGGGGTTTGGAAAAGTTGGTAGTTTTTAAAAAAATGTCAGGTGATTCTAAAATTTTCGAAAATACAGAGTGTTGTTTTTCATCTTATGTGCATGTGGAATTTCTCAGGGAAGAGAGTCAAGCCTTCGAAGCAAGATATTGGATTCAGACATAACACTGAATATTGCGAAACATGAATCTGAGCTCACGATGAGGTTGAACTGTGCAGCTCACGATGGAGATTTGTATCGACTAAGTCGTATAATTGGTGCAGGAGCAGACCCCAGCCGAACTGATTATGATGGAAGATCACCCCTGGTATCTATTTCTAGCTTTTGTAAACTGTGTTGAGAAAGATATATCTTTGCTTGGACTTATTATATCTTTGCTTGGACTTCCCTATAATAATTTATAGTTGTTTCTGTCATAACAAGCTACCAAATATCAATGTCAAGGTTACTTATAGAAAAGGTATATCAAGGTTATACTCCATTATTCATTTTATTGTTGCTTTAATTAGGCAACTTTCTTATATTTGGATATTTTCAAAAATATCATTTTTTGACTTCTTTCTTCAAAGAGGCGAGTAAAGTTTCTGTTTTCAATTGACTATTGGATACGAGAAGAAGTAGCTTGTTGCTAAGCAGCAGAAATAGAGGAAAATCAGATGTATACCCCCCCCCCCCCCCTTTTCTTTTTTTTCCCTTTGTGGCTCATTTCATCATATTCATCTGCCAACTTATGATTGTTCACTTGTTCTATAGGTTATAAATTTGCTCTCAATTTCTGTTTGCAGTAACATTCTTCAGTAGAAACACAGTCACACTCTTCCAGTAGAAAACAGGCTAACCCAATTTTGTCTGTAGGGGTTCGATTCTTACTAGCCTTTCACTGGTCTTATATAGCTTTCATTGATTTTAGATTTTTGAAAGCTAATATAAGTATATTACCTTGATTTCATTTATGCTTTTTGAGAACAACAATTTCATAATATGTTAAACAGAGTTGAGGACACGTGTCTTAATATCTCATTTATTGCGTACCACCATAATAAGCAACAACAATTGCATCTCAATGCCAAACTAATTCTGGTCGGCTATATGCATCTTAATGTGCATTGCGATCCATTTGGACCCCTTTCAAATAAGCTTTAATAAGCAAGATTTCACATTCAGCTGAATATATACAAGACTATGACATGGTAATGATGTGTGGCAAATGTAAATTAGAGTTATATTCTGCAAAAATATGTTAGTCTAAAGATGGATGATAAGTACACATTTTTGCTATTTCTAAGGTATTATAAGAAGAAATGTCAGACCTTTGTTTTTCACAAAACCCCGAGATTTTTTAGGCACAATCATGGTTATCCTAGATGCTTGACTTACATATTAATGAGTAATCATTTAGTAAAGCAACATACAAAATAATTGGCGAAAACCATTCTGGGCGTGGGGAGAAGCAGAGCAAAGACTTCAGTATTTTTTCTAACACTAATACTTCCATTCCCACCTGGCAATGCTACACAAGAAAGTAAAGACAATAAACTTGAGAATACATTATGGAGTACTTATTTTGCTTGGTGGTCCAAGTATATGGAATCACAACAATAACAATGTGGTACTTAACATTAGAATCTAGGGTCATATATTTTTGATGACCTTTCTATGACCAGAAATGAAAATTGGAAAGGCCTTGTCCATTTGGGACATCCTAAAGAGAATGGGGCTTCTGAGTGGGATAGATGGAGCCATGGAGGAATTCCTGCTACTCACAGTAGTTGATCTTAACCAATTACTATAAATTTCAACATACACTTGACTTGAAAACTAGTTCAGAATTGGTCAATAAGCTGGTTTATCCACTCAAGTTCATTCTGCAAAGTCTAGTCGGAAATTATCACCCTTTGTTAACTGTTAAGTATCTCTGTCATTGTGTAACTTAATACAAATAGATAATATATCTGATAAGGTAATCAGTATAGCTGATTGGCATTGTGAAAGAATCTGCGCATTCAATCCAAAACCTTAAGCAATGGATGGAGTAGCGCAGGAGCATCCAATCCAGAACCTTGAGCAATGGATGGAGTAGCGCAGGATCTTTATAAACCCTTTTTTTAACCCCTCACACTATCTGTATGGACAAATATAACACAACATGTACTTTATATGTGCTGTGTCAAGCGCTATATAGATGTACATTTTCATTACTACTAAGGAAATAGTTGATGACTTGATGTGCAGGGGCGGAGCTAGACTGTCGGGAGCAGGTTCGGCCGAATCCAGTAGCTTTAGTTCGAATCTTTTATTTGTTTTAAAAAATCCATTGAATATGAATAAATTATTAATTTAGAACCCAATAACTTAAAACGATCAGAATCCCGAACCCATAAGCTTGAAATCCTAGCTCCGCCTTTGTTGACGTGGTAATTGTATAATGTAGAACAGCCCCAAAATAAGGCTGGATCTAAATGCTTCTCAACTGTTGCTTATAATAAATCCACACAAAGTTTGGTACCTTTGTTGATACCTTTTCCTCTGCTTATCTAAAGTTGCTGATATGGTTTCATTCTTTTGTCAAAAAGTTAGTATGAGTACCATTTTTAGAGAATTCTGATGAAATCTTACATGTATGGTGTAAAACACAGCATCTAGCTGCATCCAAGGGACATGGAGATATCACCGTTTTTCTCATCCAAAGAGGAGTGGAGATTAATGCTAGAGGTAACCTCTTTTTTGGGTTTCATGTTTACCCGGTCCATAACTAGAACTCTTCAATTTATTTTTATTGATGTTTAATTCTCTCCCCAAAAGAAATTCTCATAAAAAACTTCTCTAAACAGATAAGTTTGGCTCCACTGCATTGCTTGAAGCGGTTAAGAATGGCCATGATCATGTGGCTTCTTTGCTTATGGAAGCAGGGGCACTACTAGGTATAGATAATGATGGGACTTGCCTTTGTGAGGCAGTCGCGAAAAGAGATCTAGATTATTTGAGAAGACTGTTAGACAGCGGCATCAATCCTAATTCCAAAAATTATGACTTTCGAACACCACTTCACCTAGCTGCATCAGAAGGGCTTTTTCCAATTTCAGTGTTACTGTTAGAAGCTGGGGCTAGTGTCTTTGCAGTGGACAGGTACTTCTAGGAATTTAATTCACTTATGTAGTATGAGAAGAGATGCAGGTTTATTCTCTTCTCTTAGTCTTGCGTGCACTCAAATGTGATCAAGTTTAATGAGTATGAGCACTGTGCTATTGTAAGTAAATGTGTCCTTTAAAATGCATAAATATTCATGTAATTATAGCTTTTTTCATGGCCACCAGGTGCAGAGCTACATTGGGAGAAGGAGTTCAATCCCTTGTCAGAAAATTTATACTGCAAAAACAAGATTAAAAAAATAAATTTTTTATGTATAAATTGGTTCAGAGACTAGTTTAGGTCACAGGTTTGAGTCCTAGTTGTCTCATTCTTATACTTTTTGAATCCCTTGTTAGAGTTCCTGCTCTGCCATTTATGGCCATCTGACGAGGAGACTTACAAGTGAAAGGTTTTAACAAGGCGTTCTGTGATAAACGCTGCTCTATTTTGTAAATTACCTCTCAACAATTGCATGAATTACTTTCAGCCTTTTAATTTACTTTTCTTCATCGTATCATGACTTTCAAAGACATTTCTTTAGATATGATGTTTATTACCTTGACTACTATACATAGTATAACCTGCCTCTTGAAAACTCAAAATTGTATGTATTGGCAGGTGGGGAAGAACTCCACTTGATGAAGCTCGAGTAGGTGGAAACAAGAATCTTATTAAGCTACTGGAAGATGCACAGGGTAGTCAATTGTCAGAATTTTCTACAAGCTTTGGAAAACAAGGTAACGTTAAATCTGAAATGTTCTCTCTATAATAAATGAATCCGACCAGGGAGGGGGATGAATTAGGTCGATATAGACTTTGTGGCAAAACGAAGTCCTTTTCAATAAATCTTTTCTCAAGAACTTCCACACCAATGAACAATGGAGCACCATTGAGAAACACATCTACTAGATCAAACCATTTTAAGCATAAGAGTATCAGATTAGTTCCTAACTTAGCAAACTAAAGGTATGATAAAATTTGTATAGATCACTAAAACAGAACAGCGGAATTAGAGAATTCGAGTACCAGCTACCAGAATTAAGTTAGTTTCTTTGAAATGGATATTAGATTCCTCGAGTTGCGTTTTGCAATAAGAAGATTTCAATGAGACACAAGAATATATCGATCAGTTTTGATTGGCAACTCGAAACTAATAACAAGCCTTCAGATGATGGGTGTATATCAATTTAGAAAATCATACTCCTATTAAATAGCTTTCCTATATTTAAACCCAAGATGCTGCTAACTCCAAGTTTGAACAAACAATAGCCTTTTTTTGGCTATTTAGGTGCAAAAACGAAGAGCATTGGACGGAAAACATTAATCCACTATTTGAACGTCTCCTTGATAAGGAATTCTAGCTTGTGTGATCTGTTCTCTGACATTATGTGTTAAATGTGGGTGCAAGTGTTTAACTATTCTTCTTCTCTCTCAACAATAACCTGAGCTAACCAATATTTATTGGTATGATAGATGAAGGGCAGCGGGTTAGATGCACAGTGTTCTCTTCAGACCCCAGGGATCTCAAAGACGAGAGAAGAAGAGTAGTTCTATGGGTACCACAAAGCCTTGATGAGCTCATTAACACAGCTAAGGCTCAGTTAAGAGTTTCATCAGCAAATTGTGTAGTCTCAGAAGATGGAGCCAAGATCCTGGACACAGACATGATATCTGATGGTCAAAAACTGTTTTTAGTTAGGGAAAGCACGCGTAGTCTCTAAGATAATACTCAACATATATGTTGTAATTTCCTGGTGGGCTCTTAGAGGGAGAGAAGAAACTAACATAGTAATAATATGTAATAACTGAATAGATTATGCAATATTGAAACGTAATGCTGGAGCTTTCCGGTATTGCCAAGACTATAAGCTTCATCCTTGTGATTAAAAGCAGGCATAAGAAGCAGTTGGGGCTGTGGAGAGCACATGGTAATCATCTCATGTATATATTTGCTGATTAATGGTGGTTAAACTCGAACTTGGGATCTCTACACTATTATATAAAATTGTGTGACCACCCCAATTAAGAGTTTAAACGGTCAAGAATGAACACTATTATTGTATACAAAATTTATTTAGTGTTTTCCAGTATATAAAGGTTCACAGGTAATGTCTTGTTTAATATCAATCAGAAGTGAATTAGCATATAAGCAGTGGATATACGCGGACACAGTTTCGAATTCGGATTTTACAGAGACATACAAAACTTAAAAAATGATTCTTGTTTGGTCAAGCTTCTAAAATCAGCATATTTTGAGAAATATTTTTTCTCAAAAGTATTTCTGGTGAGAAGCAATTTGTGTTTGGCTAGTTAATTTGAAAAACACTTCTGAGCAGTAATTAGTGTTTGGCCAAGCTGTAGAAAAGTGCTTCTAAGAACATGTTTGGCCAAGCTTCTGGGAGGCCAAAAGTACTTTTTTTCCCCCAAAAAGTACTTTTTAAAAAATTTGAGTTGTTTGGCCAATACAGAAAAGTACTTTTTGCCAGCAGCAGATTTTCTGCTTTTGGGAAGAAGCAGAAAATTCTAGCTTCTTCGAAGAAGCAGAAGTAGAAAATTAATTTATTCAAGACAAAACTATCCTCACCATAAATTTATATTTTCCAAATTATCCCTTATTAATTTAAGTTTTTTCTTTCCATTTTTGTTTCTCGTTTTTACCATCCTATTAAAATTAAAGATATCATATATATGAATCATATTGTAACTTTTCAAAAACTTTACTGACTTTTCTTGTTTTTGATCTTTTCTTTGTGTAATGTCTCATAAATTTCCAAATTATCTTCTTCTTTTTTCACACTAAAGCAAATTATCTGCATCTTCTTTTTATTATCAATTTTCTTCCTAGAAATAATTATTTATAATTTCTTCTATTATATGCTATTAGTTCCCGAATCTTTAAAACAGTTATCAAATCTGATTTGTGAAAATGACCTACAAATAGGTAATAAATTTACAATTGCATTGCATAATCTATCTATATATTATTAAAAGAAGAAGAAAATGCATCCATATTTAGTCAAGTGGCAGCCTCATAATAGGCCACTTGGTATTTTAGACAAAGTTAGTAAGGTTAGGTAATAATTAGTTTCTTTTTGAATTTAAATTTTTTAAATAAAATATTATACATTATGTGTTGTTAATAATTAGTTACTCTTTTTGAATTAGAATTTAAACATACTTAACTATTTCTTTTACGATTTTTTTTATATATTTAAAATTATTTTTATTTTACGCTCAATGCCATCTTTCAAGCTTGACACTCAAAATCATCTAGTTACAACTACCATGGCTATACATAATTCCATCTGACAACGTTCTTTTACCGATAAAGAATTCAACTATTATGCTTTACTGCAGAGATTGATGAAGGAGATCAGCCTTCTGATATTCCTTTAGAAATGCTAAGCAAGTCTTCTACTAATATTGAAGCATTGTGTGATAGAAGTAGAGATGAAATTGTTGAGAAGTATTATCATGTGTGAGTGACTTTACTTATTATTTCATGATGGATTATCAATATATAGTAATTTGTGGATAGATTTCTAATTTATACTGAATGATGTTATTTTAATTATTCAAATCACCATATAAAAATAAGTAATTGTACTGGATAATATCATATACTTTGGTATAACTATATATGTAAAATTGATTTAAATCTTTAATATGTTTGTTTAGTTTATGTTTTATATTTTAATTAAATAAAATAAAAAAATAATAAAAGTCTCTTACGATAAATATTTAAGTTCATTTTTATATTTAAAAGAATTATACGACCTTGGCACTATCCTTTTTGGTAATTTGACACTCAAAAGTACTTTTTGAAATGATTGGCCAAACACAAATTATTTATCAAATGTTGCAAAAAGTACTTCTTAAATGAATTGGCCAAACACAAACCGTTTTTTTTAAAAGTATTTTTTAAAAAAAAAACTTTTCAAAATAAGCAGATTTTGGCAGCTTGGCCAAACGGGCTCTAAGTGTATTTTTCTAAAAGTGCTTTTAAAAAAAAAATGCTTCTAGAGAGAAGTTACTTTTTTCTACTTTACCAAACTGCTTCTGCTTCTACTCAAAAGCACTTTTCTTTTCCTTCTAAAAGCTTGACCAAACATTTCAACTTTGAAAAAAAAATACTTTTTTGGAAAAAAAGAAGTACTTTTAGCCTTGGAGAAGCTTGGCCAAAGAGGCAATTAGAAATATACAACAAATAAAAAGGTGAATTCACAGCCGTTAAATAATAATCTGCACCTGATTTAATAACGCGACGGAGAAGAAAAATAGTAGAAATGACACCAGGTAGCCAATCTAAAGGGCTACTATTTAGGAATTAGCAGTCCGTCCTAAATTTTAGTTTTTCAGTTTAATTTTTTAGGACAAAAATGTCTTGAGTTGCCTTGAAGTTGAAATTTTTAGTTTAAAATTTTAGGACAAAATAAGTACTAGCTAATTCCTAAATAGCATCCCTAAGAATGGCTATCTGTGCACTTATGCCATAAAAATGGTTAAAATACCATGGTATAGCCAGTTTTCACACTGGTCAATAAAAAATAGCCAGCGTTTACCAAGTCAATGAAAAATAGCCACTATTTTGCTGCAACAGGGACCGGTCCAGTATAATATACGGGAGTTCTGGTGCATTTGTGTACGAATTCCAGCATATTATGCTGGACCGGTATACTTTGCTAACTCCTGTAAAATTTGCGGGAGACTGGAGCACCAGTGCTCCAAACTCCAGTATATTATACTGGACAATTATACTTGCTGGAACTCCCGTAAAATTTGCGGGAGTTCCAACATAGTTATCCTGGAACTTCCGTAAAATTTACGGGAGTTCCAGCATACTTATGCTGGAACTCCCGTAAAATTTGCGAGCGTATTTTTCCGGATTTTGAACAGTGATTTCGCTCAGATTTAAAGTGGCTAAATTTCAATGACTTTTGAAACTTGGCTATTTTTCAACGACCAGTGGTAAATCTGGCTATTTTTGAATTTCTCCCGTAAAAATGGCATTTCGGGTCAAAGTTGGACAACCCAGGCCCGAAAGTTGGCCCAAATCCAAATGAAACCATTCTCCTTGGGCCTTTGCTGCTCGAGTTAAAAAATGAAAATAAAACATAGCCATCAACACGTTATCCACCAGTAGGAAAGAAGAAGAAAATCAGAAAGGATGATGAGCCTCTCCATTGCCACTCCTTCAAGTGTCACTTTTACTTCCAAAATAAACCTATCGAAATCTTCATTTAATGGCATTCGAATTGCTCGAGTCTGTCCGGTTAATCATGCTCGAACCGCGAACTCTATGTCTTCTTCGTCAATGGTGGTGAAGATGGCGAAGAGGGAAGAGGAATTGAAGGAAATAAGAACCAAAACTACTGAGGAGCTTCAGGAAGAGATTGTTGACCTTAAAGGAGAGCTCTTCATGCTTCGTCTTCAACGATCTGCTCGTAATGAGTTTAAGTCTAGCGAGTTCCTTCGAATGCGCAAACGAGTACTCTTCTGTCTCTCTTTTCTAAATCTACCGTTTATTTTTGTTTTATCAATTTTGATGTCACATTATTAGCATTAGTTACTTCTGGTACATGTTTGAGTGTAACTTGGAGCAAAATTTGGATAAAACCGTGCTAGAATTTTGGTATCCTGAAGAGAGAGTCCTTACGATGTTTGAAGAGTTTCATCTACATGGTAAATTCATGCTTAACTGTTATCTGGTCGGAGCAATTTGACCAGCTTAAGAGGTCTCGATGCTGTTTGATTTTATTTTTTTCTAATTCTCTTGTCAACTGTCTTGTATTTTCTTCCTAATTTGAAGTTTATGTGCGTCGTTATTCAATCCTTGTGTTCGCAAGAGTATTGATCTCAGCATAACACTCCTGAAGTGCGGAGATCGCTAAGTTATTTTTCGAGAAGTCAGCGATTTCCTTGCGGGTGGGCATTACACAATGTTGCAGTCATTTCTTGAATTCTAGTCATAATGAGTAGAGGGAAATCGCCTCCCTATACACAAAGATTTACATTGCTGCTGATTGAAGAATAAATGTGCTTCTGTTTCATATAAAATTGGGTACTTTTCTCGTTAGACTCTTGCAGTTACGAGTGGCCTTACCTTTTTTGTTCCAGAACCAAAATAATGGCTGCTGAGTCTTCCATCCTTTTCCCCTGTTTTTTCGTTTTTATACTTTATCTGATGTGCCTGGATTCTTTTTTGCCTTTTCTTTTTTGAGGAGCGGAGGGGGTTATGATCTGAATTCTGAAGTGAATACTGATATCATCAAGTTCTTGAATACATCTGGTAGCATTACCAATCTTAATCTTTCACTTGTCGCATCCATGAGCAATTCCACTGCTTTATGTTACTTTCCTTTCCTGAATTTTCGATCATGTTCATTTTCTATTGCCTTGGATTTGGTAGTTACAGTACCTTTTACTCACGTTTAACTTCTCAATCTGATTTAGTTTGCTTCACTGGTGGTCTGGCTTTCATAATCTGTTAGATTGCTCGGATGCTTACTGTTAAACGGGAGCGTGAGTTGGAAGAAGGAATTAACAAAAGGATATCTAGGAAGCTTGATCGGAAATGGAAGAAAAGCATTGTTCCTAGACCACCTCCTTCTTTGAAGAAATTGCAAGAGGAAGAGGCAGCTGCAGAAGCTAAGGAATCTGCTTGATTTTAAAACCTTTTAATTGGTAACTGATTAATTTTCATCTCTCCCGTCTTCTCTAATTTTGTGTTTCATATAGGCTAGAATGTACAACTTCTGTAATCTTTTTTGTTCTCTCTCTTTTTTTGTATCAGACCATTTATTTTGAAGATGATCATTCTTAGTATGTATTTTTCAATCCTCGAGTATGGTGCCATTTTTGTTCCACTTAAAATTGCGCCAGAATATAAATCCTTTTTTTTATTTGATGGAGTAACTAATGTCTTGATTCTTTACATGAAATTCCGGTACATGCTACCAGGCAATATAGTCAAATTTTAGATGAACAGTATAGTCACCCGTCAATAGAGTGAATAGCTTTTGCCCCTCAACAGATAGACCAACAGTATAGTCAGATCACAAGGCTAAAGCGAAGAGAACTGTTGTTATTGTTAGTGAAATAGAGTAATGAACTGATGAACATTCTTTGCACCCTCCCCTCCTTGTTTGGTTCTCCAACTTTTGGCAACTGAGTTGGCTGAATTTACTACCATGCCCATGCTTCTCTTTAATGCCGATATCCATAAATTAATCGCCGAAATGTGTAAAACCATTTAATGCCATGCGGAACGTAGTGGTGTTTGCTGGCATACTGACAACCTCTTCACGCAGAAGCATGAATTTAATGATGTCTATCCTTATTAAGTTAAATCGTCAACCACTGAAACTCCAGACGCCTAAATAGGGCGTTGGGAGTTGGTAGGTTAGGGCCATCTTAAAAGAGCAAGGTGGTAGACCTTTCACATTGGCACATTCCCCAAGTTCTTGTTATTACACCTGATTGTGAATATTGAACAAGAAACCTCAATAATCAAGTATTCAATCATTGCATTTATCAAGATGTAAACTTTCTTGTGTTTTGCTTTTTTGAGATCATGGCTCATGATTATGACAAGTGATATAGCATAAGATATGGAGATTCCAAGCATATAAAACACAAAATAATGTGGTAGTTTACCAAGATACTATGTTAACCAGAAGTTGTCCCTGTTTTACATTAACTGATAGAACACATTGAAATGGAAAACATATGAAATCTTTTAGTTCTGTGACGAGTCACCAAAAATGCTTCCCAGAAATGAAGCTCCTTCATTCCCATCACTGTTGTTACCACCATCTATGATCCCCTGCATGAGAGTTTGACCAACTTGCTGAGCTGCACCTTCCCCAAGTCCTTGAACTGCAACATTCATCAAATCGTTGTTTGTCCCTGGAGACTGCATGTATTGGTTAGGCCTCACCTGTCCGTGAATTAAAGGAGGTTGCAAGGACTGGTGCTGGGGGGTTGAACCTGTACTTGCACTATGGAATAACAGGTTTGGCCTCGCTTGGCCTGTACCCAGACTAGCCTGCATGTTCTGATTTTGCATCACTTGTCCTGTGAATATGGGAGTCTGCGGGGACTGGTTGGCAGTTGCACCAGTACTTGCACTGTGCATAAACTGGTTTGGCCTCATCTGTGCAGCCATAGGAGCCTGCTGGAACTGGTTATGTGAACTAGTCGCCCCAGGGAATGAATGGTGGTGCTGGAGGATGGTTGGCCCTTGAGCTGTTGGTGTCAGGGCAGAAGTTGAACAATCCAAATGAACATCAAAGTCGCAAGTGCTGCATCTGTAAAGCCACTGCTTGACTGCAATCTTGTGGCATACATCACAAGAGAAGCCTTTGGCATCAGCATAAGGATTCTTGAAGGTAAGTTCCAGCTGGCATTGATGCAATTGGTGTGTAATTTTGAGGGGCCTTGATGCACAGATCACATGGAGATCATATTCACAGTCACTGCAGTGGTAGCTGAAGCCATCTCCGCGGTAATTGCAGGCATCACAGTTGAAAAGTCCACCAGGGTATTTGGATGTCGGGAGGAGAGCTAGAGGATGGTCAGGATGTGAGGGGTGGTTTATCTGCTCTGGGAATTGAGTGCAGCTTAAATGGAGAGTGAAGTTGCACGGTTTGCACGTGTACATTTGGGCTAATGGTGGGAGTTTGCATCCTGAACAAGGTGTGGGATTCTGGAGTTGAGTGCATAGCTCTAATTCATGTGGATGACTGAAGTGCTTGAGGCTTAGATTTGGATCAGTGTTCAACTTCAACCTCCCCATCACCCTGTTGCCTCTTTTCCTTTGTTCTCCTCTTCTCTTATCTTCTCTTTATTAGTTATCTTGTTAGTGATGCAACTTGTTATTAATGCAATGAGATGGAGGTGTTGAGGGGATGAATGAGAAGCAAAAGACAGAAGACAAGCTTGTTGACCTATGGAAGTCAACGTGCAACACGGTTCTTTCACTGATTTGGATGTGTAGTGATGCAAATTGCATTGAATGTTTTCTTCTTTGACTAATTCTTTAGCCTGGTGTGCGAAGGATGGTGGGATGCCCTTTAATTTCTCGGCCAAGAAGATGATGATCACTGAAAAAGTTTACTAGTGACGTAATTATTAAGTTAGGCGCCTTACTTTGATGCCAGCTTCATATGACCAAAAATAAGCATTCCATTAAGACGCTACATATAAAGTTAATTTTTCAAAGGAATCTGTCCATTTACAACTTTAGACATAAATTTAAAACACATCTTCAGGAGATAAAGCAGTTTTTTTTTTTTTGTTAACGGGATGATTATATATATTAGCAACTACAGTTAAATAGATAGTACATTATTTTTAGGGGGTATGAAGTAACCCCTAACGGGAGATAAAGCAGTTGCTACACTTGATCAACCGCTTTACCTCTTGGTGAACCGGTGCAACTAGTCCTTTTTTTTTTCCTATAAGATGTTAGCATTAGATTCCGATTATATTCGGATTCGGATTTGGATTCACACAGCTTAAAGCCCATTTAAGGAGAAAGCACTCCCTACAAACAAAAAAAATTCTATACCCAGGACTCGAGAACCTGAAACCTCTGGTTAAAGGTGAAGGAATTCTATTCATCCCACCACAACCCATGTTGGTCTTTGTTTTATCTCTCGGTTAATCGTAGGTCATGGTCTTAAAATTTTTCATATTTATGCACAAAATAAATAAGCAGATGATACAAATTTGATTAAATAACCTCATTTAATGTGCTTAAGTAAAGAACACAATCAAGGAACTTTAATCTAATCTTTTAAAAAAAAATTGTTGACTCTAAGCTTCAAAATTTCGATAGAAATTTTCTCACAATCACGATTGGAAGATCGATATAAAATTACATACATGCGTTTTGTAATTATTTTGAGTCTTGGACGTAAAAACCAAGGCTATTTCATTAAAAGTGGCTCCAAAGAATGAAAATTATGGTTAGGAAAATGCAAAGAATTGAGGAAATGGACAGCAACAAATATTCTCTCAAATAAAACAGTCAGATTTGTAGCATTTTCTTTTGTTGTTAAAAAAGAAATTGCCGGTGCCGCTACGAGAAAGACTTTTCAATAGGAAAAAATTCCAACTACTCAGTCTACTCAATCTATTTTTGGCGTGGTCATTAAATTCTAGCCTACTACTTTATTACATAAAATTACAAATGGCCCCAAAAAAACTGACATAATCAAGAGGATAGTTCGGTAATTTCACACTAACACTGCCAAGCTGAGAAGAAGCATCTTCAGCCTTAGCAATTAAGAAATACCAGTCTGTGTGAAACCACCAAATTAACATAGAAAAAGAAGAAGAATACTTAAGAGCAGAAGCAACAAAGATTCAGAGAAATGGCGTTACAGTGGATGATACTGACGTACGTGGTGGCGGCAGAGGCTGCCGTAGCAATTCTCCTGACATTGCCCTCTCCAAAAGCAATCAAATCTCGTATCGTTTCATTAATTTCGCTCGCCCTTCAACCTTCTCTTTTCATCGTCCCCTTCGCTGGTTTTCAGCTCCTCGGTGCATATACTTATACCCTTTTTCTTTTGTTTTTCCAATTGGATCTTATCAGTAATCTGCCAATTATCACTGGACTTAGGGTTTTGAACTTTTTTCTCTTTACTTTTTTATTTTTGGTTTTTCTTTTGTTAGATATATATTGGAAAAATGAGCATCGGTTGATGTGCACGGGTGAGATCTGCACTGCTGCCGAGAGAGACCGCTACGAGAAATCCGTAATTTTTCTCTTTCCTTTTTTTCGTAAAACTTTCAGACCCCTTTTTGCTGATCTTTACAGAGTGTGTTTATATTAAGCTGAAGTTGTGAATTATTACGTCTAGTAGGTTGGATAAACGAGCTGATTACATTTGTGTTATTAAATTTTATAAGCGGCATGCTGCCTCATTCTTTATAACCATAAAACTTGAAGTGGGATGATTACAATATTTTGAGATCTAAACATTGAGTAAATATCCATATGTGATTTTTGCTCTCTTATTTGTTATGGAAGAAACCTTAGGGGATTACATCCGTATGTGAAAAGAAATGCCATCTGAATCTGTTTGCTTCATTGCGACATCCTTCCCCAAATAGGCGGAACACACAATCTAATACCAATATTCAATTCGGAAAAAATACATTTTACCTAAGTGGAGGTAGTTAAAGCTAACGGAAATTGAGTAGTGCAAGAGTGCATCTCTCCGAGAGAGAGCATCTACCACCAAATGGCTAAACTCATATCGGTTTCTTTTAGTGTGAGTATGACTCGTTACTGATGTCTTTTGTTTCAAGGGAACATCATGAACTTAGAAGGAATTAGAACCAACTGTAATTTAGTTTAGTCTATTTGCTTTGTTAATTACCTTTTGTCCGTGATTTGAAGGACATATTCAAAGAATGTTGATGTAAAAGAAAAAAATGAAATGATAATATGGATTATTTGAGCTTAGTTGCAGCGTTTTTCCTGGTTTAGAACAATCTTGACCAAGTTCTTAAAATGAAGATGACAATGTTTGCTCTATTTTGAATGAAAAATAGACCCGCTCAAGACAGTTTTGCTAGGTATGCTTTAGCTCTAGTAGGATTGTAGCTTTCTTGTAATGGGCCAGTAGTGATAAGACCCAAGTTGCTCGGATACGGTTGTCCGCACGGGTGATGATCTAGAGGTCGGATCCTTCGAGATGTAAATTCGAAGATTTGAAGATACATATCCTAGTACAGATAGGGTGGGGAGGATCCGGATAAAAATAATTCAAAAAAATAAAAATATAAAAATATTTCTAAATTATGAGAATTTTTGTGGAGTACTTACATGTAGCTCGTAAAGTGTGGATTTCTTTTTTAATCTCAAATTGTAGATAAGTAAATGATTTTTGATTTCCTAGATAAGGTATGCTATTTTCCTCAAATTTACCCTAGTTTGGGTTCTGATTTCGGGAATCAAATGTATCTCGTCTCGAATTTTTTCGTCCGTCGTGGTTAAAGTAGACAAAATTGTTTGACCAGATCCGGTACAACCCATACCCACACCCATACTAGTGTCGTTTGGACATGGGTGCGGTATCTAAACTGCTCTTAGATTCCAATTTAATGTGTCTCACAACCGAGAAAAATTAAGGGGGTCATTTTGGTTTTGGGTCTGCGACGAATAGGTTCAAGAGATGAGAGGATTAAGGATACCCACCAGAAAGACTAATCCAATCCATAAGGATGTACCAGAAAATACAACATTTTTGTTACTTGACCAGCCATCAGGAGAAGCAAATACAACGGGTACGCTAATCAATAAGATTAATGAAGTAGCAATTAATGCAAAAACAGCCAATTGGAAAGCAAGAGTCATGCTTTTAATCCTCCAAGCTACCAACAAATGGACTTATACCATTTGATCCTTCTATCAGCCAAAAAATAGTAATTGTGATAAAATATGTCATTGAGGGATTTTACTTTATCATGAATCCATTGATTCTATATGACTTATTACTACTCCCCCTTTCGCACTTTATTCGTACATGGAGTGGGGAGTTGGGGGGGGGGGGGGGATGGAATTTTATATTTTATTTCACAAATAGGCATGCTAGATCATATATCTATATACGGATAGATAGATCGACCGGTGGATTCGCTCCTGAGATCCGTGTCGGAGCAACTTAGAATAAGACATCTCCTAGTTAAATGTTTCCAATTTAATGGTGGAAATTGAGATTCCTTAAGTGAGCTGCTTTGTTTTAGAAATCACTGTCAGCATTGCATGGTTGTACTATTTGGAGACTCATGTCTTTCCGAATTAAATTTTGGTATTAGATTGTGTGATCCACATGTTTGGGGAAGCATGCTGCGATGACTATTTCATTTCTTTTATTTCGATAAAGCAAAGAGATTCAGATGTCATTTCTTATCACTATGATTTGCAAATTGCTGTTCTTTGTGTTGCTTTACACTCCTTTCTATTTTACTCCAAGGCTTACACTTTAGTTTCCTTTCATGGGATCCATAGATTATTCCTACATGGCTAAGTTTCACTTTGATCGACTTCCGTTTAATTTTCTAGAGTTGGATTGAGAAATATAAATTTTTTCTGACATTTGCTTGATAAACCCATGTTTCCTGGACTTGCATATGCTTATAAATTAGTTTTTGTTGAGGTGCCTAATCTGGCAAGCACTTTATAGCCTATTTGGCCAAGCTGGAAAAATCGGCTTATTTTGAGAAGTGCTTTTTTCAAAGTGCTTTTGAAAAAAGTACTTTTAGAGAGAAGCAGTTTGTGTTTGGCTAATCATTCTGAAAAGCACTTTTGATCAATAATTTGTGTTTGGCCAAGTTTTTCAATAAGTGCTTTTAAGTATCAAAGTACGAATAAGGACATGAATAGATTTACTTAATAATTAATATTATAAATAAATAAATAAATAATCTCAAAAATTTATTGTTAAAGACAATAATTAGATCTTTTCATTTTATTTAAGTAAAATATGAAAATAAAATTTAGAAGTACTTGAATTCTTATAATATGATTTAAATATATTAAAAATCATTCAAAAAATATAAAAGTATTCATCCCTGAAGTCACTATATATTAGAAAGTTATCCTATAAATAAGAAGAAATATTTATACATTAATACCAAAGTACTAGGTTTAAAATAAGTAAGGTTATTTTGGTGTATACTATATTTTGTTAAAGGTATTTTTAGTAAGAAAAAAAGTCAAAACTGCTTCTGCTTTTGGGAAGAAGCTACTTTTCTCTGCTTCTCAGAAAGTGCTTCTACTTCTTCCCAAAAGCACTTTTTCCCCAAAAAAAGCTTGGCCAAACACCTTTAAGTTGGGGAGAAAAAGTACTTTTGGGAAAAAAACACTTTTGGCCTTTGGAGAAGCTTGGCTAAACAGGCTATTAGTTCAAAAAATAGAAAAAGTTACACAAGAAGGAGCCCATTGGATTCAATCCAATATGTATACATTAAAAAAAATTGACCTTATACACATTGTAAATTTCGGTCTAGCTCCGCACCTGCCACAAAGCATTCATTGCATGTGCAGTGATACGCTTAATTAGTAGAAGAGTGGCAATATGGTAAACTAAGGTTACTTGTAAAAAAAGAAATTTTTGGGCAGTTTCCACCAATTGACATCTATATAATAGGTGGTTGCATTAAATGGAAAGCAACTTAGGAGTGTCTTCTTCATGATTTCACATGAGCTAATTAGTGTTGTACACGAATCAGGGGTAATGTGTGCTCAATCAACGGATGAAAATTTTCTCTAATTGGGAAAGAAAGTTTCATAGCTTTGAAAAAATAGAAAACTATGCGAACTGCTGATAAATTGAAAGAAATGTGGAGAGAAACCATAATTTGTTGTCATTGTTCCCTTCAATTTAAGGCAAGTATTTGAAACTTTCATCAACATGTAAATGCATCTAGGCTGAATGAAACCTTAAACTCAAGGGTCGATAGAACACGTTGTTTGATAGGATGTCTTTTACCCTTTTTACTGCTTAATTCTCATGTTGGAATTTCTAGTATATGAGTGTGGACCAATAAGGAAACACTTCAGAAGTTAATCAATAGTTCTCGAACTTGTTCTTCATGATCACTACCCTGATTGATAAGGATTCCAATGGTGTAAACTTTCTTTTTCTTTCAGCTGTTTTTCACAGGACCTCAGGAACTCATATAAAGAAAGAATAGCTGAAAAAAGCATTTGTCACAATGCTAAATTGCACATGCTTTTTCAGAAATGACTGCTTAGTGCTTACCTTTCACCTTTGTGCCAGTCTTGTCTGCTTTCTTATTGTTAGGGAAGACTCCTACACAAACTTAACTGAATGGTTATTCGAAGGATGAATTAAAATGATTGTTTCAGAGGCAGCTTCTCTTAGTTTCTTCAATTCGGTAAATATATTGCAGTTGTATGGGCATCATGGTGAGACTAAATCATTGATAACTTCTATTAGCATGAAGAGCTTACCAACTTATTACTGTTTGACATCACTTTTTATTTCATCTATCTGGAATCCATGGATCAAATGCATTTTATCTGGTTTGGTGGATCTGAATGGGAATATTGAGTTAGTCCTAGCAATATGATCTACCTGATCCTACAATATATAATGTCAGATATATGAGAAACCACAGCCTATGGAATGTCATTTTAGGTTTTTTTCTGTCGCTGTCATAAGTTGGTCCTAGGAGCTGGTATTCCAAGTATCCCTGCAACAAATAGCTTGAACATCCTGTCATCACATATAAAGCATGAGTTCCACTTGCCCCTTGTGTTCAATGATACAGTAGCTGAAAGACTACCATGACTGCATCCATTGCTGTGTTCTGGCTGTATAACTTCTTGGATCTCTCCTCATTTTATGCAGATTTACAAGGCTCAAAGAAATGCTATTCTGTGTCTGGCAGCATGCCTTCTCTACTGGTATATATGCAAAATCCCTTGCGAACCTCGTATTTTGATATAACTTGGGCTTTGTATTATTCAGTTCATAAACAAAGTGCTTTTATATGGGTATAGGTGTATCTATCGTGTCTGCAAGTACTATAAGGAGATTCAGAACATTGAGGAGGTGGAAAAGAGACTCAAGGACGAGTAGAGTTTTCTTGGCTACGGTACTTCCACTGGTATTTGAGATCTAGTTGTAGCTGAACCGGTGCCTAGTGACCTTTTTAAGACTTTGTAATGTGATATGAATTTTGTGTTTGCTTTGTTACTGCCTTCTTATGGCACGCATTTGTTAGGTTTCTATGTCTTCCACCTCGAGGTGGTTCCTTTTCAGTCGAAAAACATAAAATGTAATTGGTCGTTGCAACAATCACCTATACACATTCAAGTACAATCTACGTTTATCTTCTCAGGTTTCTCGTATAATTTTAATGAAATAAGCAGTAGGATAAATATCTTGTAAGTACATTTTAGCTAAATGAAAGTAAATAACTTAAAAGTCCCTCATAATATACATTTTAATCATTTATCTATTCAAATAACATTAATTGTAAAATGAATCTTTAAATATCTTTTTTTTGGTTGTAAATTTGACACTCAAATGCACTTTTGGATCGATAGGCCAAATGCAAACGCATGCTTCTTCTACGTTGCTAAGAAAAGCGCATTTGAAATGATTTGGTCAAACATAAACTATCACGAACCGAGAGTACTTCTGAATCTCTATTTGCAAAAAGTACTTTTCATTGACCAACCAGGCACAGAGCTGCAGCAAGCATGAAGACAGAGTAACACAAATGGGAGATAAGCACTCTTCATTAGAACTCAAATAGCTCTGACATTTACAGTAAAGAGAGTCCAAAACCTGCTCTACATTTTTACAAGCTATAAGGATCAAAACATCATTCATCTCAGTTACAAACTGCCTCATTGAGTCTGCCAGATCTTTTCAGCCATGAAATCAATGAATGTCTCAATCATTTAACGAATGCTATTCTTCCTTCCAAGAAGTAATTTCTGAATGATGGTGTTTAGCCACTAAAAAGACACAAGTGCTGCAGATCTAGAAGACAGGAACACCTCTAAAAGTCCTTGTGTCCGCCGCTACTAAAAAAACCTAACGGAACTTTCGCACACCAAGTTGGGAGCTGATATCTCATTCTACCTGCACACAGGGAGAAAAATAATTCTAGCTGCATTCAAGGAGTAAAATCAGTTTCCGCACTAGAGAATGAATCGTCCTCAGCGATGCAATACAGCTTTTCCTTCTCTTCGTCCCACATTAGAACTTCTCGTATATACCTAAATGCTTCATCAACAGATGTACTTTGAAGAGCCCTAGTCGGCCAAACAAAAAGCTTTTTGCCAGTGATTGAAGCATAGAGCTCCTTGAACTTAACAGCAACATAATAATATGCTTGATTTGCCAAGGCTTGATTGTTTTGTCTCTGTCTCAAAGGTCTAAAGTCATGAAACCAATCACAGACTGTCAAAGGAACTTGGTTGATTTTGGTTTCAAAGATATCATATTTATTTAGGAGGAGCACAAAAGAGGCTTCCTCAAAACTACCATGCCTAACTAAACTCTCAAATACATCTCTGCTTGCCAACATTTTATTTTCTGAGGTACCATCACCTCGGGTCCATGTCAGGTCATAGTCACTCAAGGCCACACAAAAGACTACCACTTTGACATCTTCAAACATTTCAAGCCATTTGCCACTATCATGGACTCCCTTGGAACTGATACGGATCAATTGATACCTGCAGGAAGACAAACAGAAGAAAGCGGATGGTCACTGAGGGGCCATAGGTTCACTTTATCAAAACTAATATTAGCTATGCAAAAAGAGTTACTTGGTCCAAGGAGGTTCGCTTTCTAAGTCCTCGTCATAGATCTCAGACATGGGGCTGTGATCATCGAATGAGAACTCAAGAGAAGCAAGTCCATTGCTAGGAGCCACCCCTTCAGCATATAAAATGTCATTTTCTGAAGGTTCATACTCATTACTAGATATCTCGATGGCCTGGCAAAAGTAAGATCACATTGACTGGTACATGCAAGCTAAAGGCTTCCAGAAAAGAATTATCAAAGATGAATCTAAAAGGTTAGCAACATCTAGCAAGCATTTGCAGAGCCCCTTAAAGTATCATTGAATTTGAGACAGTGTAAAGTAGGGAGCACACTAGATTGAAAGACAATCTATGAAGAAATGTACTTTGACAACCATTTCAAATATAAGTAGCCTTTATAGACTTGTAGAGTTGTAGGTTGACGATGACTCGAAGTTGTTTAGCCTGTGATCACTGCAATTCAGTGTTTATGCTTACACAATATAGGCTATATCTATTAATTCGCCAATCCAATTTAAAAGCTGCATTCTCTTTCAAGAATTAGTTTACCGTGCTTCTGCAATATCACATATTGCATGGACTCTATTTCATTTACAAGCTACAACACTTCAGCAAAGATGTGGCAGTATTCAAGAAAAACAGACTTGAGATTGCTGTTTGCCTTGTTGGTGTAGAAGTATATAAACTTTTCCACTAATGACAATAACTTAAGAGCCTGTTTGGTTGGTGGAAAAAAAGATTTAATCACCACATTAATTCCGTACAATTACATACATTTTGGCTTTTTATTTTTCTTCTTTTTTCTGCATAAGTTATGCGGGAATATATGCATTATTTTATGCGGAGTAGAATGTGGAAAAAGATATGAGTATTAGCAGTGCATGGATCAAAATAAAAATGACAAAAATGCCCTCACACTCTTTAGATTTATTTCTTCTTTTTCCTTGAAAATATCCAACAATAAATAGTCTTTGCATTACAATCCCTGCATTAGTAATCCATGCATTACTAATCCCTGTACAACTTGTTTTCTAACTAAACTAACCCTCGGAGTATGTAATAGAGGAGGTCGTTGTATTTGAACACTATTCTTTTAGAAAATGAAGTGATTTAGCAGATTATACTTGATGGTAATCAGGGTTATATAGGCATGCTTGAAGAAATCTACATTAGAATCTACATGATAAAATAGAGAAGCTTGGAAAACAAATTTTCTAGTATCTAGGCCTACAACATCTGAGACATGTCATACTAAAGGCTCCATGGAGGTAACCTATGATGCAGCATCAAATATACCATCAAAAAAAACAGAAAAACAGTATATACGAAGTCAAAGAAAAATATGGTCATAAAGCCCAAGATCAGTCGCTAGATCTAGTACTTATAAATATAAGCTTTCTGTTCAAGGCTGTAGCTAACTCTTCTTGCTAAATCAGTCCGATCACTGATAAAATTAAGCATGCATCAAATCAATCAAGAAGCAAGTTCTGTAAGTTACCATTTAACATGATAGAGGCTATAAGACCTCAGTGCAATGGGTCAAATTGTGCCATGATCTTGTAACATCATAATCAAGTGCGCGGTAAAAACCATAACCTTGACATGAACTGTTAACTCATTTACTCTATAATGACAGCTAATGTTGACCTTATTATTAAGTGGTAACATCTGGACTGTCAAGTGAAAAGTCACCCTAACTTGTTTTACTGTATAAATAGTAATTGTCAAAAAAGACTTTGGCAAGTAAATAATAAATTCAATATCCAAGGTAAGCTCCTGATGCTATTTATAGTCAAAACCATGCATTTTCAAGTTCCTCTCTTCATGATAAAATCAAGTAATAGAAACATCAATTCAAATAAATTGTGTAGCTACCAACTAGATGTCAAACATTGATTTTGTAATTTATGTTTCAAAAGATACTTCTATTCACTAATCTTAGAAATTCGAAACTAGATGTATTAATACCACACCACTTATAAATGAAGTATTTACTCTTGAATTTCCTTCATCATACCAAATGACTCATTTACATCATCTTCAATCATATACTTGAATGTGACTCTCATTACATGCTTACGAATAATTTAACAGTGTTAAATCATTTTGACCAAATGAATTTTAACATATATTTTTCACCTAATTTCATGTCCACTATAAGTGCCATGTCTCAAATTGCCACCTCTAAACCAACAGCTATCCAGTAAATGCAGATATCATTTTAAGGAAACAAAGTATTAAACAAGGTATACCTTGTCCAGGAAATATTTAGCAGTATCAGGAAGAAAACGCAGTTCATCCCTTCTCTTGTACGTTTCCTGGATGGCAGGGTCTTTCCAGATCTCGTCTACAACTGGAGCATATTCACGTGTAGCAGCAGGAAAAAAGGTATCCAAATCTCCCATAGCTATGATTTCCAGTAACCAATCAGAAAAATGTTTTACTCTTTGATTGACTGAGTAGATGCAGCGCCTGCTCCCATCAGTTCCGTCATCAACTGAATTAATTTTACAGTATCCACACAACAATAAAAATTCAGATATTGCCCACATGATATATATCTGTTAAGCAGAGAATGTCCTTTGTGGTTATAAACAACACATAGATATAAAAACATTAACACACACATAAATCTCTCTCTCTCTCTCTCTCTCTCTCTCTGTATGTGTGTGTGTATAAAGAGGGTGGGGTCAGTGAAACCTTGTATATTTTACAGTAATGTTTCCCCAAACCACTAAACGAGCAAAGTTGAACCACCACATAGATTCCATTGGTCAACCTATGACAAGCCAACTTTGACATTAAATAAAGGCCATATCCAATCTTTTAAGAACATAACAAGGATGAAAATATATGGAAACAGGCCCTCAGACCCACTCTGGCCAGTGTATATACTACAGAGCCAAATCAGAAAGAAAGCAAACTTAAATTTTCTGGCTATCAGCATTCACCTGTAGCCTGTAGGAAAATGCTTTTCCCCATGTACAAGCAGGTGCAAGGGAGAGAGGATCTATGCCTTTCTTCTAGTTGTCATTTCTAACTAAATGCTTTCAAACATTGATTCCTTGCTTATTAAAAGTAGCTATCCTTTGCAGGCCTTTACTTTTATCAACTCAAAAATAAATTAGGATTACAACCAGAATGGGTGCAACTCAATTCAGCTTACGTTCAAGTTTTCAACCAGGAAGGAGTGTCTAGAATACCTGGTGAAAGATTTTCCATCTCCAAATCAGAAGTTTTCTTATCCATCAGGACCTCCTCCTCAAAGTGCTCTCGCCCCTCGAGTAAGACACTCAGGTATCTATAGATGTTTCTTTGAATGGTAAGCTTGATATTCTGTACCTCTTCAACTGTGAATTTACTTTTAGATATAAACTTCACCTGTTGTATTGAAAGAAGTGAAGGAATACAATTGATTAAGAGCTAATCATGAAATAAAGATTACAAGGTTTGGCAACAGCAGCAAATAGGCAGTTTCCAGGTTCAGACGTGTTAGTCATGCGGGGAAATGACAGAAGCAACTTAATATAAACCATTAACCAAGAATGCTTGATCTGTGTTCCCCTGGAACCAATGTTCCCTACTTAATACTACAGATCCACCAAGATAATTTGAATCGCTGAAAAGAAAACTCAAACGAATTCAACCTGAGCAATTTACCAAGAAGTAGCACTTGTTGTTTGAATATTGAAAGGAAAAGAGTCAACTTCAGTGTGTACATTCAACAAGTTTTTAGTCTTTGAAACTCAATAACGTGAATGAAGATAAATGCAATTACTAACTTGTAATATAATGAAATGTTACTAATTTTCACTTCAAAAAGCAGGAAAAAAAATAGAGAATTCACAGTTTTAAGCTTTCTTCTCAAAAGGCTATCTGATATATCGTGAGTAATGGAGAAAGGCCCTCGCTTAAAGATCATCATAGAAAACCGACAAGCTTCTCATTCAAGGAATTTCCACTACCATATCCAAATAACAGAAGATATATGATTTTGTATGCCGACCTGCTTAAAAATGGTGCTTGTCCCGGATCCTTCCAGCCCAAACAACAAAAGTTTCTGCAGTCTACCTTGCCCCAAATACTCAGGTATAGACCTACCTGAAAAGGCAGTCGCATCTTCTTTTGGCCCGTGAATATTTCCAGGTGGAACAGGCAATGAAAACAATGAACAAATGAAACGTGTAGATGCCTGCCTAACAAAAAGTACAGCTGTAACTAATTAAAATATAGACATAAATAATTTGAAAGGATCATAATGTCCCTCAAGTGGAAACTTTTACTTAAAAGGATTACGAGAGAACCTTTCCCCATATGTTTCCTCTAATGTTATTTTGACCTTCTTCCTCATAGGATCCATCATCGTATACCCAAAAGTGAGTACCTCGTTGACACTGAACCTTGGCTAACTGAGAAAAGAGGAAAAGATTTCAGCACAGATAGCTAGTTTTTGTTTCAGTCTTATAAGACACCATCATCTCTAGAAACTATATCTCCATTGATTTCCAGAATGCGATGTGAACACAGGAATCCAGTATTGAGCATTCCAAAGCCACTCTCATTCAGAACCATTATTATACTAAAATATATGTTTGAGCAAAATTAATTAGCATATCATCTACTTAAGGGTATCCTTCAAGATGGAAGATATTGAAACTCCTTAAAAAGATGCGGCCTAGCTCTGCTAATACAATGAGTGGGGTGGGGGGTGGGTGGGTGGGGGGGTCAGGGCTAAAATGGGTTTCACACCCTCCCAGCCTCTCTTGCTTTCTGCAACAATAGAAAAGATGCTACTTGAACTGCATCATTTGAAGTTGCAGGCTTGCATCTTGTGTTTCGTGGCAGTCCATTACATGAGACAGTCCTAAACCTTCCTTCAACTACAGCACTCTTCAAGCAAGCACAAAATTCTCGTGTGCAATACCCATTAGAATCTTACACGCGTCGGAATGATCACAGCTAGCTACCAGCAAAATCCGATTCTGATAATGATATGTCAAGCTTCCGTGTCTCAGAAAATAAGTGGTAACAATTAAATTATTCAGAAACCTCTATGAACTACAGAAACAACAAGAAGAAGATCTGTGGAACAATCATTTCAGAATCTCTAATCAACACGGAACATCGACTAAAGCTAAAAATATGAAATCCATGACAAAATGATTCAATATGCAATGAACTAACTTCAGAGAGTATTTTTCAACATACAATCAAATAGAATTGAATATTTAATGCATGCTCAAATGGAGCGAGTGCATGCACCAGAATATTCTGAATAATCCAACATTTGAATTTACTTTACCTTCAGAACCCTGAGCTCAACTTTTGTAATCTCACGGCCATTGATGAACACTTTCGTATTCCCTTTACTAGCATCAATCTGAAGTTTACCACCCACATTCAGTTTTGAACTTATTATCCTGTCTGGCTTCTCTCCCTCCTACAAGAAAACATGTCAAATCCAATGAGCAACAAAATTTCACAAATAAATCATATACACAATACCTATGCAAATTGACAAAAGCACAATAAAAACTGCTGTCACCTTTCCCCAAAGCCCCGAATCCTTGTCATACCAATACTTTCCAGGTCTCAACTTCTGCGGTGGAATTGCACATCCAAGCAACTCTACTAATTCCTCATCCCGCAATGGCCTCCCATTGACCCACACCTGTTCGGGTTGAATTTGGTTCGCCAAGCACTCACTCTCTGCCTTCATTATCAGCTTAACTTCCAAGGTACTACAGATTTTCGCCAGCAAACGAGAACACTTACCCAGTTTTTCTCTGTTAGCCTCATCTATAGGCTCTCCTATGCATCCCACGCATTTTCTACCCTCTGGCATTGAGCCCATAGCCTTAAGCAAACAGTTTCTACAGTACCTAGCACCACACACAATGCAAAACTCTCTCTCTCTTAACCTATTATTCTTCCCACACCTACTACAGGCATGAGCCCTAATCTTAACCCCTAGCCTATCATTTTTTCCATTTTTCTCCCCTTCCGGCAATGATTTATCATCAACATCAATAGACCGCGCTGAATTATACTCATTTCTATCTACGTTATCATATTTATCATCATTATCATTTACATATTCGTTCTCTGCATTTTCATCAGTATCAACAGCCGGAACATTACCGCTATTATTTAACTCCGAAAGAGATTGATCCGTTGGGATTTTACTATCAGATTCCGAGCTGGAATTCATGCGCAGCCTTGAAGCCGAAGACGAACTTCCGCTTCCGCTTCCACTACTACTATTTTTCTTCACGTGCATAGCGAATTTGGAACGAACGGACGGTACCTTACGGAATTTGGGAGGTTTCGGGAGGGTACTTTGGGAAGAAGCCAGTGGATCAACTAGAGGAACAGGAAAATCTAAAGGAGGACCTTTATACTCAACAGCAAAGGAGTAGTCGAGTTGTTCTTCGTCCGGTAACGGAGCTCCGGCGGGCAACATTCGCCGGAGAAGGTCTTGCCAAGCGTCAGAATTGGAATCAGCAAACGGCTCAGTCATGTGGAATTCAGTAGAAGAAAGAGGAAGAAGAATCAATGTGAAATGGAAATAATGGTGACATGGTTGATTGCCAAATTGGTTAGGTTGGGATTTTGGTGTGTGTAACTGAAACTGGTCCTTTTGGACAATTAAGACAGAGAGAAAAGGGATGCAACTGGGAAAGGAAACAAAGGACGGTGGCCAGGTGGGCGTTCGTTTTGAAAATTTAATTAAATATTAAATTACTAAAAGCCGCCTACATGCTCAGACTCAGTGCGCGTCACTCCTGAGTAAAGCCTGATGCAATTTGGTAACTCCGTTTTTTTTCCCTTTCCAAATTGGTAACTACGTTCTCCCTCTCAAAATCTTTTATTTTATGGCTCATATAAATTCTTTTTACTAATTTTTTGTCAACGAGTATTAGTCACAAATTCATATGGATTAACCTGTAGTATTAAATCATTTTATTTTTAATATTTTCTCTCTCTATATATATACATATCTATGTATATTATAAAATATATTTTTTGGCAAAATACACTGATTTGGTATACCATATACACATCAAGCACAAATTATGTTCCATACAAAAAAATTGGATTTGACGTTTCCTTAAACTCTATATAACTTGGGAAGTAAGGGAGGATCCAACTCTCTGTAGTGTTAAAGTAAAGACGTAACATGGGGTGTTTCTTCACAGATTATTTCAACAACTAATAACATTCGCTATGGTGCATGTCCATGTGTTTTCTGATAGCAACATTAACCTAATTGCTAATTACAAAAAGGGAACGAATTATTTGCAGTATATACTCTCTTTGTCCATGAAAATGAAATGTTGTAGTCTTGTAGACTAGGTTGCTTCATTCCCCAATTCAACTCATTCTCTCAAGATTACTTTTATCTCCGTTTCTCGTTGACACACCCAATTGATATTTTCATTGCGATCTCTACTTTTTCATTCGCAATATGTGTTTTGAACATTTCCTTTTAATCCTCTCATAAATCTTTTGCCGTTTGGTCACTGAGATTAAGGGTTATTCCATATAAAACTTGAGATTAGATTTATCCAGTATTTAATTATGGATATTAGCTAAAACTAGAATAAGATTTATACCAAAATCATGGATTATCTATTCCCCATAGAAAGTGAAATTATCTATACTGAATTCCTGATTATAATTCCTGATTATCTAACTGGGCTGGAGAATCATTATTTCCAGTTAAAATCCATGAAAGCTTGTCTTCATCTGCTAATAAGATCCCTGTCTGTGTTATGAATAACGACAAATCCTTGGATCTTATAAGTGGATCTAACAAATGTTTTTACCACGCGACAGGACACTACTTCTGGTACTGTTAAAAGAGTAGCATAAGACATTGGAACCTAGCAAAAAGTTGTGCCTCGGTTGACGTCCCTACTACATTAAAAAAAAAAAAAGAAAAAACTCGAAATTAAATCGGTATAGGCATATAGAAAACTAAGAAGTGATTGAAACATCAATAGCTGGAACTATAGGAACAGGAGTTGGAAAGTGATTGTCTTGTTAATTTGATCTCTAATCCAGTAAATTTAAACAGAATTACGGGCAAAAGAATATTAAGTTACATTACATTGTTATGCTTTACGAGAAGGGCAAAGCGGGAACATTACACATAATCAAAGCCAGCAAAGGCTTTTGAAGTAATCTTTTCTTCACTTACCCAGTTATGCTCATAACAGGAAGAAAGGCAATATGTCTCACGCATAACAGCAGTCCAGATTGGACACCAAACAAATAATGGTCCCATTAATATTCTAAGACCACCGTTTTCAGTAGAAGGAGACGCTGTACAGGAGCTTCCTTCGGTGCTGTTTCTCAAAATTATTGATGATATCATCAATTGTATCCTCCCAATTTTCAGTCGCATCAAGCTGCAGTAAGAACGTATATAGTTGGTGAAAGACAAGAGAAATTCATATTTGAGATTTTATCAAGAACCGCAAAACACGTACTTCCTGGCACAAAAGCAAAGCAAGGCGACCTCCAACTGCTGCTTCCTCATGGTTATCTTTTACTTCTAAATTGATTATAAGAACCGGCTTCAAGAGAACTTGATTTCGGTTATGAAGATCTGCATTATCAGACAATGGTTAAACCAAGTATGCTTGAGATCCATAGTGCATGAACAAAAACACTCTCCAAGAAATGTAAGGTGACCAGTTGTAATACTATTAACACGTAATGTTCAAACTTGTTCAAGTGAAACATCCATGATTTCAGGTGCTCTTCCCAATGTAGAAAACTTTTTGCAATCTTAGAATTACAAGACTGGTGTACCACAACACAGAATGAGAACAAGTCTAGGCAGCTCTTAAAGGAATATATAGCATGGATTTGGTACAAGAATCTATATGAAGATCTTGCTTTAATAAGACAGACATTTTGTTATTCCACGATTTTGCAAGATGTGTCATGACTACAACCAAATTGGCTGTCTAGTTACAAATGAAAAAAACAAAGAATGGAAGACCGAGAAGAAGGACAAATGAGATCATATATTCTACTTTAGCATATAGAATAAAAATCTGTTTAAGCACTTAGAAGTAAGAATAGAATAAAAATCTGCTCAAGCACTTAAAAGTTAGCGTAAAGCATTTGATTCATTTAATAAAACATTACGCAGACAGTACCAAAGACCCTGGAGCAGCACAAGCTTCATGTCAGCATCAATCAATCGACCACTCTCTCATCTTGCAGATATGTTGAAATATGGAAGCATAAGATTCATCCACACATAATATTATTGGTCTCACAATCGTTCATGGTACTTCCCTTTCTCTTTGCTAGAAAACTTCTAATTGCATTGTGCTACAGCAACACTTATCTGTTCCAGCCGTTCTATTTTAGTTCTATGTGTTACATTGTCATCTATATGCCATTCTCTTGGAACCACCTTATGGGAGCTAAATATTTTTCAAAATAACTTACATGAGCTAAACTTGTTGCATATATATTCAATTTCACTTCTAATTGTCCTAAAGCCTTATTTTCTAGAGTACTTCTCCATTGTTCTAACTTGTTGTTGACGTTCTCACTAGTCTTGTCAATTAACACAATATCATCTATAAATACCATGCGCCATGAAACCTCATTCTATATTCTATTGCCTATTGGTTAGCACATCTATAGTTATGGTCAATAAGTACTGTATCAAGGTAGATCTCTAGTGTAAACCCACCACTAACGAAAGCTGCTCTGTATTTTTTGTTCTTCTCACTCTTGTAACCACCTCCCTCATATATATTCTTTTACGTCATTTACATAATTTATATATATATATTCATTTCTTCTCAAGCTCCTATCAAAAGATTTTTCTTGAGACTTCAATTATATGCCTTCTCTAGGTCAATGAATATTATCACGTGGAACCCTTTTTTCTCTCGTTATAAATTTCCAATGATATTCTTGGAGAAAATATAGCATCTCATAGGATATATTTCACTAACAACGCCACTGAATGACAGGAATAAAAATAAGAGAAAAGACACACACACACACACACAAAGGAAAGGAAAGGATGTCAAGATAATAACACTGTAATTTCTCATCTAATTACAGCATATCCAACATCAAGAAAAATCTAAAAATGAAGAATTCCAAAAACGCATTGTGAAGTAAAAATTCGGTGTAAATCCCAGCTTACATCTTCCCTGGTCAAGAAACGGAAACTATTTGGGACGGAGAGAGAAATTTTTTCCAACACGAGTAAACATTGGAAGAGTATTGTATCTAGCAGGAGCAAAATCATTCCCTATTGCAACTCCCTTGAGATTAAATTACATTACCAGTTCTTAGCAAGGCCCAGGCCCCTAAACTCTCTTGCATCTCCAACTACCTTCCTTACTCTCCCACGACCGTCATTTTAGTCTATAAGCAGAGGTTTCACCACTCGCAAAAAGAGAGACTGAGAGAGTAAAACAAGTGGCTTAGACTACTATACTTCCGTTTTCCTTTTTTTTTTTTTTTTGCCTCAGAAAAGCAAGCTAAGAATATCTCCACAAGAGATAACATTATTGAAGTTTTTCTCAACCAAATGACCAAGTCATGATTTTACTGCAACAAGAGAACATTTTTTTACCAATCTTCACCTTCAGTAGGTATATATCTTGCAACTGCAAGGATGATGCTTGGCAACTTTGCCTTGTACTGTATATGTCTATTCAAAGGTTTATATGAGCATTAAGAATTATTCCTCAGATGCTCCATAGCTATCTGTCAGCTACTTTCAGAAGGCGATGCTATATAAAGGTAGTCATCAGTAAAGTTCACACCCTTTGATACAGGACGCTTGAAGATGGAATCCAATAGTCTCATCCGAGGCATAATATTGATCTTTCTTAAACTTACTAACGTGCAAAATTTTAACTTCTTCAGCAAACCGATAGACAGAGCTCATTTAATTGCAACCATTTAGTAGGATTATCAATCCCTCAGAAACGCAAACGAGTATTACCAACCTTCAAGCACCAAATCAAAAACTTTTTCTTCGAATGTAAGTACCACATCAAAGCAACCATCAGCAGCATTTTCCTGCCAACGTTGAGGTGCAGTCTTTACACCCAAGTTCCTTTTTAGCATAGGCAATATTCCATTTCTCTTGTACCTGGGAAAATGCAACTGAGGTTCAAACCCCAATCCCAATCAAAACTAGAGGATTCTGAAAATAGAGAAATATATCCAACAACTATAGTCTAATAACCACTTCATCAGCATGGAAAGAAAGTAAAGATTGTAACTTTTGTCCTACAAAGGAACAAGCAGCCTAATTTTTATAGTTTGAAGGTTTAATCAGTGAAGACAATGAGGTTTTTTATATTCCACAAATTGCAAGCCTAACGTTTACTTAAAGATTTAATCTCATATATGCTGAAACATATACTTGCAAGAAAACAAACGTTTTCCAATATTTAGTCCTGTTATATACATGTTATCCCAATTGAACTAACAGAACTTGATTAAAAAAAACATATTAATTCAATTAAATGAAGTCCTCCCTATCCATTATACTAATAGGCTATGTAGGGTAGGAAATTAGCATTAGAAATTAAGCACCCAGAACCTTCAATCAGATCAATCCAAACCCTAAAGCACCAGTGAAATTCCTCAATTCGTCTACAAATCAGTACACAAAATTAGGGTAATCTAACTGCAAGTGAGGGGGGGAAAAAATATTCTTACGATCACTAAATATCAGGTAACTAGGCAATTTTGACCATGGCAAAGATATAGCTAATGAAGACAAAAGGAGAGTATAGAGAGGCAGAGAAGCGTACAGTTCGGGGTCTTTGCGGCGGAGGTCATCGAACATGTGTTTATAGGGAGTGCCGAAGTCGTAGACATTGGGTTCCCTAATAGAAGGACCTGGAAGCTTCACGTGTTGCCCGGTGCCGTACGAAGCCACATCAAATCCCTCTCTTTTCAGCAGGCAATGAGCCTCCATGCTCCGGTTCTGGTTCGACGAGCAAACCATCGCATACCGGAGCTTCATAGTTGATTCCGGCAGTTCCTCACGGCGTAATACTCTTCTATTCCGGAGGTAATGAATTCGTCGATAGCTACGAATTTTTGCGCCTGTGCCTGAGAAGAGTATAGCTTCAAACACTCGAGCAGAAATTTAGTAGTAGTAAACTAGAAAGAGCAAGGTGTTTTTTTGTGGAGAAATGACGAAAATAGTCCCTTATGTTTTTATGTAAGTTTAAAAGGGTGCCTAGAGTATACTACTAAGCAGTTTTAGGCCTCATTTTTTTTTTTAAAGATTAAGACGTATGAATCTGAATACACATCTGAATATCAAGATGTGTATTAAGATTAACATCTAAATCTGAATATTAAGATGTGTATTAAGATCTGAATACTAAATGATTAACGATGTTTGAATTTTAATATCTGAATGTATAAAATTTATCATTATTTGAAATTAATAAACATAAAATTCAAATGATTAAGGAACGTGGGGGTGGGTAGTGGTAGTTTATAATAATGGGTAGTACCGGTTATGATTGTTGATGGTGATGAGGTGGTTAGTTGTAGTAGTTGAGGTGGATGGGTGTTTGTCATTGAGAATGATGGTGGTGGGAGTGGTGCTGATGGCGGGTGGTGGTAGTCGACGATTATGGTGACTGCAATGATTGAGGGTGATGGTGGTTGAGTATGAGGGTGGTGGTGGTGACATGGTGGTGGTTGATAATGGTAGGTGGTAACGACAATTAATAATGAATATGGATGATAATATCTTAATGAAATTAAGTCTCTGTTATGGACCTTAATCATACAGACCTATTCAGACCCATTAAGTGGTTTGTGAAGTAACAAAAACAAACACACTTAGTGATTGAGATTTGAATGATTAAAATTCAGACCTTAAAAACAAACACACTTAGTGTCTGAGATCCGAATGATTAAGATTCAGACCTCCATTAAGTGCAAATAAATTAGGCCTTAATCTTATAAGTTTGTCAAAGTGAATACTTTTAGTCTTTGTCAATGTTTGAGCAAATGCTAAACTAATTAGTAACAAGATAATGGGGTGAATCTCAGTTGAGCTTAATAAATCTTAGATCAAATAGAGCGAGACTCTTGTATAATGAGGAGAGTTCAAGAGCATTAATTATTGAGTTCAATATACCTAGATTGGTAACATATGTAATATCATAAATGTGCTATAAATGCAAGAAACGACAATGAGCGTAAATGAACTTTCACCCAATGATTGTATGATTGGGTGTCTCTTCTTTCTGACGATGTGAAAAGGTATGCAGTTGATATGAATGTGGAATCTTTGAGATTTATGGATGAAATTTGAATAACGTGTGCTTGAATAAAGTGAACAAGATAACTCTTTGTATATTCTTCTCTCAACTTTATAATATGATTCTTGGTTCCCAAAGAGGCAGATCCCCTTCTTGTTCACTATTTCCTCCTATTTATAAGGGACATTCCCCAAAAACCCCTAAAAAGTACTACATAAAGAATATCCAAAGGAATATTCTTCCTGTCTCTTCCTAAGTTTAGGTTACCGTTATTATCTTATCCCAGCTGCCCGCTTCTGGTCGTCGGCCTTTATCACAACGACCGTCAGTCGTTGTGTCATGGTCGACCCCGTCGTGGTTACCAAATTTAGACCTATACAGTTAGTCCCTCGGCTTGTTGAGGTCGTGGCCTTGCACGTCTTAGATAAGCGGACATCATTCGTTCCCGTTGTGGGAGAATTTGGCTCTTAAATTATGCCGGGTTGACCAAGATTGAGAGAGCGACACGTCTTTCGGACTCCTGATTGATATGGTTATCGAGATGTGACATCACTCGTACATGCGCCATCATTAGGCATTTTCCCAAGATAGCGTCTGAGTGCTTGTCGCTTTGATTTTAGTTTCATTGGCAGTCTGCTGCTTCGATCCTCGCACCATTTAACCCTATAAATAGGTGAGGGTTTCGTTTTTTCAGAGATTTTTTGCCTTTCCCTTCCTTGTGTATACATCATTCTCCTTCGATCATCTTTCTCATTTCTTAGCTCTGTTCCGATGATCTCTGGAACCGGACCTTCTCAGATAAGTGAACTCCGGTGTACGTATCGTATTCCTCCTCACACCGAGATGGTTCTGGCTGGGGGGACATCGTGGAGGTCCACATAATGGGATATTGTGATTTTTATGTGTATCCTTTCGTGATTGGTCACACCCTCCCTCTTCTTCCGCTGGCGGAGGAGTGCTGTAGGTTTTACGAGGTCTGCCCAGCACAGCTGTCTCCGTACTTGTATAAAATCTTTCTAATGATGACGAAGTATGCAGAGTTGGCTGGGTGTGAGGTCGTCATTCACCACCTTTTGCATTTATTTTCCTCGAGCTTTCATAGGGCTACCATGATACATTTGTGGCTTCGTGGGACCAGGGGGTTGGTGGTTGGAATGGATGACGGGGCAAGTCGGAAGTTTTGGCACAAGCATTTTTTCATCAAAACGGAGCACTTGGTGTCGGACCCTATTGGATTTCCTGAGCAGTGGAATCATAACCGTAGGTGCCGTTGCCTTAAGCTTGTTATCTACTTTCGTTCTTTTTGCTTTTTATTCATCCATGATTTTTCCGTGCAGCTGAGAGGCGTGCGCCCTTTCCTGTCGTCGACATTGAGGATTGGGTAGCTCACATGCTACCTTACATGGTGGGTATCCGAGACTGGGCCATTTTCGTCAAACGCTTCGGACTGAAGGTTTTGTCTGGTAAGTATTACTTTTGCTCCGACCTTCGACTATTTGCTGTTGATTATTGACACGATCCTTTTGTAGTGATAGGCCTACGGATTTCCAAAAAGAAGGCTCCAATCCTGGCATTTCGCCAGGCCATTGCATCAGCGGGGATGCAATTTACCATAGGCGCGTCTTCGCCTAGGTCAGGAACGGGGGCCGTTCTTATGGCGGATGCCATTTTGGCGGAGGTCCCCTAGGGCCGAAGAGGTATGTGAAGGCGGGGGACCTGTACGATCTGTTGAAGGCGACACATCGTCTGCTGTCGGAGGATATGGAGCGGCACATGCGGAGGACGATGGTTCAGGCTCGGACATCGATCCCGAAGATGTGCGAGCTTTCTTGGAACGACATACCTGCGTGGAAGTGAGGACGGAGGGCCCTAACCGACACGTAATCATTCCTGCGGATTACGATCTTTTGGTGAACTCCGAGCAGGTAGTGTCAGCATTTGCCCCTTTGTGTGCTGCTTCCGAGAACACGGCACTTCAGGCGGTGAGTGATGCGGAATTATCGCGCAGTATTTCTGGCATGGCTTTGCGGGTAAGTGTTTTCACTCTTCCCCTCTTTTGGATTTGTTTTGTATGCGTAATCTGTCTAAGTTGACTTTTTTTCCTCTACATATCAGACTCTTATCATGGAGATTGAGAACGATCGGAGGGATGAACGGAGGACGGCCGTGTTTGGGAAGTTGGCCTCTAAGTACAAAGAGTATCACACCAAGAACCGTGCATTGGCCGATGTCTTTACTCAAGATAGCAATTTTCAGCTATTTCGTGATGGGCTTAAGCAAAAAGAGGAAGAGTTGGCGCAGAAGGTTAATGAGCTGAAAGAGCGGGACGACGAACTCACGAGGGCCATTGGTCGATGTAGCAAGCTTGAGGCGGCCCTTAAGGCCAAGGATGATGAGCTTGAAGTGAGCAAGGGGATAACCGCCGAGAACGCTGACCTTCAAGCTCGGGTGGCTGCCTTAACTGCTGAACTTGGGCGAAGAGAGGCGGAGGCTGTCGACTTGAGGGGTGAATTGAGCACCAAAGCTGATGACTTGGCTCGTGCTGAAAAGGGCAGGATAACTGTCGTATCTGAAGTAGCGACCGTAGAGGGTGCCCTCCGGGTTAGTAGGTCAAAGCGGGACAATAAGCTGGAAACGCCAGCGCTTAAGGTGGCAAGATTAGAAAAACAGATTCAAGATCTGGAGGCGGAGTTGTCCGTGTCGAACGATCAGGCTGCTGCTTTGAAGATAGAGGAAGTGTGACGGGAATCGCAACCCTCCGCGTCTCATATCTCAGCTGATCCCGTCGTGCCGCGGGAGTTGTATGATATGTGGGTCCATGTCGAGGCTCAGATGTATACAAGTCCCTACAGGCTAACGGGAAGGTTTTCGAGGCAGAACTCGAGGGTATACGTGTTAAAGCACGTGCAGCTCATGAGGCCTGCGGCTATGATCCCGGTACGCCTGTCAGAGATGATGTTGATGATAATGATGCGGACAGGCTCGCCTCCGATTCTTGGTATAACGAGGAGTATGCTGCGGGAGACGATGTGGCGTAGGACTGTTGTATTTATTTTGTTTTTGCTTTGCTATTTTTGTGAGGGCGTCTCCGAGCCCTTTGTAAAAAAATTCTGTAATATAACAGTTGCAGTGGATGACTATCTTTTTGTTGTTTACCTTCGCATTGTTATTTTTGTTTGTTGTGAGGAGGTCTCCGGCTTTTCGGCCTCTCGTGTACTGTTTTGGCGTGGTTGATTGTAGATCTTAGTAACTTGAGCAGAGTTGAATTTAAACGATTCGGGCGAAGCCGAATGTTAAAGTAATTCGAGCGAGGTCAATTGTTAAAGTAATTCGAGCGATGTCGGATTTTTTCTTTTGGCGATGGCCCTTGGCTGTAGGGGTGTTATTTCGAGTTAAGGTCGAAATGTTAACCCGTTGAAATTCGAGCGATGTCGAATTTTCTTTTGGCGATGACCCTTGGCTGTAGGGGTGTTATTTCAAGTTAAGGTTGAAATGTTAACCCATTGAAATTCGAGCAATGTCGAATTTTATTTTGGCGATGACCCTTGGCCGTAAGGATGTTATTTCAAGTTAAAGTCAAAATGTTAACCTGTTGAAATTCGAGCGATGTCGAATTTTCTTTTGGCGATGGCCCTTGGCCGTAGGGGTGTTATTTCGAGTTAAGGTCGAAATGTTAACCCGTTGAAATTCGAGCGATGTCGAATTTTCTTTTGGCGATGGCCCTTGGCCATAGGGGTGTTATTTCGAGTTAAGGTCGAAATGTTAACTCGTTGAAATCGAGCGATGTCGAATTTTCTTTTGGCGATGGCCCTTGGACGTAGGGGTGTTATTTCGAGTTAAGGTCGAAATGTTAACCCGTTAAAATTCGAGCGAGGTTGAATTGTTAAGTGATGGAGAATAAAATATTTTATTTCACTCATTGGAGAATACTATACATGTTCGTTTCATACACATATTGGAGAAGTTTCCATGTATCTAGTCCCTTCATCGGTCGACCTAGAGAGACAATCGGCAGGCGGGGCGATGAATTATACTTCGAACTTCGAGACGTCCCCTTCGTCGCCTTGTTAAAAACCTACCCGAGAAAACCCAATTGGGGACAAAAACCGGGCTAGGGAAAAAGAGTACGATTTCGGGAGCGTCCTTTTTCAAAAGTTGAAGTATATGAGGTGAGCGATGTTCCAATTGTGTGGTAGTAGTTTTCCTTCCATTGTTTCTAGTTGGAATGTTCCTTTGCTTGCTGCTGCAGTGATTTTGTATGGCCCGTCCCAATTGGTTCCTAATTTGCCTTCCTTCGGATCTTTGCTTGCCAGTGTTTTGGCTTTGAGAACATAGTCCCCGACTTTGAGTGGTCGTACTTTGACCTTTTTGTTGTAGTACCTTTCTGCCTGTTGTTTTTGGGCTATAATTCTTACGTATGCCATGTCTCTTCGTTCTTCTGCCTCGGCGAGGTCTTGTTTTCTGTTCTCGTCGTTGTCCCGTCCACTTTCATTGGAGTACCTTAGGCTGGGTTCTCCGACCTCAACAGGTATCATGGCGTCAGTCCCGTAGACTAGTGAATATGGCGTTTCGCTTGTGCTTGTTTTTGGCGTAGTGCGGTAGGCCCATAATACTTCTGGTAGAAACTCCAGCCACAAACCTTTAGCGTCCTCGAGCTTTTTCTTTAAAATGTTCAGTATTGTCTTGTTGGAGGATTTGGCCTAACCGTTGCTTGCGGGATGATATGGCATGGAGAGTATTCTCTTGATGTGCCATTTCTCGAAGAATACGATGGTCTTTCTCCCGGTGAATTGGGGCCCATTATCGCAACTGATTTCTTTAGGGATGCCGAAACGACATATGATATTCTTCCATATGAATGCGATGACTTCATGTTCGCGTATTTGGGTGAACTCACCTGCTTCTGTCACACCTCCTTTTTTACACACCTACCCCGAAGGATAATGTATAAGGGAGTTTTTCCATTTAAAGTGACATTATTCAAAATGGGATTATTTATTTTATTTTAGAGTCGCCACTTGGGATAGGATTGGCTTTTGGTGTCCCAAGTCACCGGCTTAACTTGAATCCCAAATCGAGGAAAATTTCGACTTCCCAGTTGGAGTCTGCGAACCAGAAATTCTGAATAAGGAATTCTGTTGACCCGAGGGAAGGTGTTAGGCACCCCCGGATCCCGTGGTTCTAGCACGGTCGCTTAAATGTCGTATTTGGCTAAATATCTGATTTTAGTACATGTTTTGACCTATGTGTTTTTAACTTTGAACCGCTTTTATTATTATTATTTTAAGAGAATTGCAACGTCATGAAAACATGTCTCGAACCGCGTCACATAAATGCACCCGCGATTTTTGACACATTTCGACTTCGTTGAGATTTGGATTTGGGTCACATAAATGTGCACCCGAGTTTAGGAAGGTGAATTATTAAAACAACGCGCCTAAGCAACTACGCGTTTTTAACTTTGCCAGGGCCATGAAAATTTGCTAAATGGCACGCCTCGAATTCTAAGAATTTAAAAGATTAATTAAATGAGGGCCATGCAATTGTCATTTTTGTTTGGCACGGCGCACTTCGAATTATTTTTAAGGGAAAAGAATTGTATTTTTTGGAGGCCAACTAAAGATGCTCCTACTTTAGTCTAATTTAAAATCAGGTATCACAACCACGTCACGGGAGCCGTACCCGTAGTTGTAATAATTTTGTTGCGTGTCTAAAGCAAGCTACGGATATTTAAAGAATTAATTATTTCCTAATATTCACCAAAGTAACTTTAACAATAAAATTTGCAATGGTGAAAAATGAACCATCATATGAGATAAAAATATACCCTCCGTTAACGGAATAGCAATTAGCGTGATTCAAACATCTTGAAAGATAAAGTCACATTGAAATCGATTAAAACCCAGATTGTATGAACAAACTTATTCATTTTAACTCATTTAAAAGTGAGTCATGGATTTATGTAGTCAAAAATCAATTAAGGCTTTTGGGTCGCGTATGCAAACTGGAAACTTCAGTAGTATCTCACTTACCCATTAAAATCCAAACCCATATTTGGCATCAATGATCATTCCAAAGAGCAACAAAGACGGTGAAAAAGGATAATAAAAATGAAATAAACCACACCTTATCACAAAGGATATCTACAGATTCCAAAGCACAATAACAAGTAAAGTAGCTAAAATAAAATAACAATAATCAAGCATAGAGTAGGCTGAATCCTAAATATTAGTGATAAGAAATGAACCTTTGAAAAAAAAGCAACAAAATCTGAAAACAACGACCAGCAACACGTTAAGCGAAATTAAACNTGAATAGGGAAAACTTTGAGAGGAACAGGTTAGAATTAGGGATGATTAAGATCACCTAAAAGAACCAATTCAGAATGCAATGAAAAAAAATTTGGTTAGAAGTTCTGACTTTATGTAAATATCTAGACTAATTCTTACTCAGTCTCATACTCTAATCAGTATACTCCTGTGACATGTGTTTATATTAATTCACTGATCCCTTACAAAGTTTTTTTTCTATTCTGACATTTGAGGCATAATCAAGAGAAGTTCTACTAGAAGAACCTGGTTCATCAGTATACGCTCATGAGAAAGTTCAGGCATGTTTCTATACTTTGCACAATTCGAAAGATTAATTTTCCAATCATGAGCAGAAGTCCTATTGTCACCAAACTCCCAAAAATTATATCCGTTGAGCATTGAACCAGTTTCTTTCTCCTAGAATTCTAAGGAAAACGGGATTCTTGCCTAAAAACTAGTGTCGCCTATTAATCACTAAGAGACCGGAGTTCTAAAGTGATTAGACTCCTGATTGACTACTGCAAAAAGGTTGTCGTTACTGCACTTAATCATAACCCTCTTTAAATACACTCCACATACTCCCTTTTAGTCCATAACCGTCATTAATCTCTCCCAAGTTCTGATCATCCTCTTTCTCTCCAAAATTTCCAAAATTCCCAAAATTCTCCAGAAATCATTCACCATGACAAACCCTCAAGATAACCCTGGAACTCCCCCACCAGTGTCTCCCTCAAACACATCCTCAACTACACCCCCTAGTGAAAACCCCAAACCTAGGTTTCGCCGGCAGAAAATGTTGGCAAGAAAAACTGTAGCTACTGGTTCTCTGAGAACAGCCCTAAATGAAAAGTTGAGAGCTAGCCAGAAGAAAGAGAGCCCTGCTAAAGAATCTGACTCAAGTTCTGAGTCTGAAACATTTATCTCTACAAGCGAAGGAGAAGAACGTGGGTCTTCTGACACTGACAAAAATCAAGAAACCCCTGGTGAGGTAAATACCTGTTTTGTGTTTTCTGATGTGGTAGAAACGGTGGAAAATAGGTTTGTGTTGGTTGGGTCTGTGAAAGATGTGAAGGAGGCTGAGTCTAGTAGAAGGGGAAAGAAAAGGAAAGACAAAATGCTTGCAATCTGTGGAGGGGTAGAGGAAAGTGGCACCAAGTCAGGGGGAAGTGGGTCCGGTGAGGCTGCTGAAGGTCTTGTTCATTTGAGTGAACAACAAGATGAACCTAGTTCATTTGTTGAAGAAACCCTGGCTGACATCTTGAAGAAGGTTGGGGCCAGCTATGATCCAAAGAAGCGCAAGGCTTCTTCCCTAAAAGCTCCAACTGCTTCCAAGCCAGCAAAGAAAAGCAAAGTGTCATCTCCTAAGTCTACTGTCCCTTCAAAGGGAAGAGCAACTAGAAGCAGGGTTAAACAAAGTGAGGAAGAGTTACAGAAAGCACTGGAAGAAAGCAGGAAGAAAAAGAGGGAAAAAGGAAAGGCAAAAGTTGTGGAGAGTGTTGAGGTTGTAGAAGAAGAAGAAGAGATGGACCTGGTCCATCAAGAAAGAGGAACAACTGAAAAGGTTCCAACACCCAAACCAAAGAGTTCCAAGACTTCGACCAAGAAGTCATCCTCTGTACCTGCATCTGCTGAGCCCTCGTTGGCTAAAAGAACTAGATCTGCTGTGAAGGGAAAACAAAAGAAAATTATTGAAGAAGAAGAATGGAGTGGAGAAGAAGAAGTGGAGG